TTGTCTAATCAAATTCAATTGCGCGAGCGTGCTTCGTATTCCTATTATGCACGGACACGACGTCAGCAGACAAATCCCTCGAGAAAAAAATTTTCCATCGGGTTGAAAATGTTACAAAACAATTGATTCATACGTCAGCTGTGCGCCTACGCCTCGAGCAACTCTAGCTTCTTGAGTGCTCTCCAAACTTCCCACGTGCTTCATATCTCGATGAACGCACGCTGACGTTTGAACCAATTGTTAATCATAACATAGCTAGTAAATTTGTCTAATCAATTTTAATTCCTATTGTGACGCTCATAACGAAAAAAAAAACACTAAAATATGGCATATCTATTCACTGAGATTTTAATCATCGGCTGTCACACAGAAATATAAAATAGGGTTTGTGAAAAAGACCAGGTCGATGAAATTAAAGATTCAGGAGAAGTAAATGACATTAACTAGTATAATGACGTTATCACCTGAATTCAATCTGGAAAGAGAACTCTGCAACACTTCTGTTTTATCTGCAACACTTCTGTTCTCACACCTGTAAAGGAATGGATAAATGTTGCATAAAAAGAAACCTCCTACAATAAAATGAAACAGAAGCACATTACCTATATCTGTATGCTTCTGAATACAGCTATAATAGATATTTTTTAAGCAGTTATCTACATATGTAAACCGGGTGCAATATACGGACATAAAAGCAATTTTATTCTCACCTTCCTCGTTGAGGGGTGCCTTGTGTATCAAATATATCAGTACCTCCAGAGTCACAAGCCGGGCTTTTGGGGCAACAAAATAATAAAATAATCAACGGGCCAATTTATCGAGAGTCAATTAAGTATAGTTTCCTAAAATCGTATGGAAAGTTTAAAATGTGCTTCCCTTGTGCTACGAATACGGATTTAACGTTCTTAATTACTGGTAAAATTCCGAGGGTGTGACTCAATTAATTCAAAGGAAAATATCAAAGCAGGTTACAGAAATGGTTCACGAATTGTAAACTGATAATGTGTTCACAAAACTACCCGAAATTATGATGCCGATAAGAATTTACCGTTCAAAATCACTAATGAAATTCCGAGAATGAACCTCAATGAATTCAACAGAAAATATTCGAGAAGGTCCGTGTGTCATTGATCCATTCAAGGTTCGTTTAAATCAAAAGTTGAAAATCGATGTCAATTTTTTATTTTTTTTAATTTTTTATCAGAAAAAATACGAAAGAGCGCGAAACCTTCACTTCCTTCGCAGACTCCAGGCAGGCCATTGGAGGGGGTGGTATCAGAAATTTACCCCCTCCCTCTCCTTCACCTTCATTCCAACCATGTTTTACAGTATGGCGTCTGAAATGTCGATATGGCTACATCACCCGCTCCAATATGCTCCAATACGAAGTCTAAGATATTTTTAACTTCTTAGCGTCCAAAGTCTGGCTGCTCGCTGTAATGGACAGAATTGAGGAAGACGCTCTAAAACGTCATGAAAGACCGCGGAGACAGTTAAACTCTCACTTCCTTCCCAAACCCCTTAAGCAAGGAGACGGACCTGGCCATGGGGAGGGCGCTGGGGGCAAAAAATACCATGCGAATGGACCCCTCCCCCTCCCTCTTGGGTAGTTCTGTCAACGATTTTGAATGTTTTGGCCGAAAAACAAAAATTGAAAATTGATTGCAATTTTCAATTTTCAATTTTTAGACTTCGTCGAAAACAGAAAAACTAAGCCATGCCACAGACTGCAGCATCGTCGGAAAAGCAAAATTGCCGCTCAGTTTCATTTTTCTCTTTATTGTTGACAGGATTAAAGTAAAAATATAAGTTATGTTTCAATACTCTATCAAAAGGAAAAAAAGTCAAATATTTTCGAGTTGGCACTTTCGTATTTTTTATGATAAAAAATAACGAAAATCAAAAATTGACATCCATTTTCAATTTTTGATTTTAAACGAAAATTGAATGGACGAATGACACACGGACCTCTATCACTTCGTTCTTAGCGTAAAACAACAAATCTTCGACAAAGTGCTATTTATCTAAATGAATAATGTAAACCTTGCGATAGCTAACTGAAGAGAGAATGATAGAAACTTGTACACGCTATCATTTGAAAACTTTCAAGGCAAAAATAATCCGTGAAATAACTTCTTTTCCCTTAACACCATGAGTGTATTAAACATTCCAAAAGATAGGAAAAGAAATAACTTGAATAATACGAACACTTTGAAATGTTATTTTAGCGATGAACCGGCGCGAGGGTTTTAAAGAGATGAATGCAAAAGTCATTGTTTTACTGAAACGTGATTTGAATTATAAATTGAAGCTAGCTTCAAACGAAGATTCGGAAAAAAGGTTTGAATTTTTTTGGGCCTTAGCGAAGGAGAAAACCCAGATAAGACACAACTTACCTCCTCTTCTTTGTCGAATCCTTTGTGTTCCGCTTCTCTTTGTTGATGACCTCTTTTCAGTCTGTTTTCTGGAGCTCTTCGTATTTCCTTCTCACGTTGCTCTTTGCTAGAAACTCGCCTTTTTACTTATACCTTCTCTTTGTTCTCTTTCGCGTTCCTCCTGCCGTATTCCGCTTATTTCAGCGTCCTTTCTAACTTTCTTGCGCGTTTTTCTCGACTCGCTTTACGCCTTTTACTTCTTGTTTTCTTTGATCGCTCTGTATCTTTCTTTCCAGCCTATTTTCACTGAAAACCCTTTCTCCACCAACTTGAATTATAACAATTTCCTCCGGTTGACAAAGCTTTAGCTCTGTCGGCATTGTTGCTCTGCGAGTTAATTAAAAATTGCAAAATACTGAGAATTACTGTTCAACTACAACGTCACCAGTTTGATTTCCCGCTCAAAACGCGTGTTGCAATTTATTTGCTTACGCCGCTTCATATCTACTAGCCCACGTGAAGCCCTCGTGTAATGCCTAACTGTGTGCCCGCTGTACGCTGCACTAAAGCTCGGCACTGGAGTATGCGTACTTCATGGTCATCTGCTGGTGTCCCCTGGCCCACACTAACTGGGTATCCTACTTACGCACGCAATCGCGCCTGCGCATAATCTTCTCCTTGGCCCTTCCATTACGTAATGGCTAAGGTAGTATCCGCAATGCAGTTGGCCGCGCATACTAAAAGTAGCACCTTGTACGGTCGGTCTTACGGTTGTAAGTCCAAATTTTTTCGGCTTGATGGATTATTACTATTTCGTATAATTATAGGGCTATTTTGCCCGCGCTGCGAGCTCCGCTATTAACATTCGCCTCAAATCGTAATTTTGAAAGCTGTTAGTCGATTCTTTGTCTTACTTCTTGGCGGTTTTTCCATTTTTGCCGTGGGGTTTTTCTTCGCCTTAAGCAACTTTACTCATTATTGTGTCGTCCTCCTCAACACTCTAAGTAGCGATCGAAATAAAAAAAACGAGTCTACCGTGGGTACCTTTCCCGGGAAATGTTGACGAACCTTTGTGGGCTAAAATCTCGCATTTGATTTTGGGAGGACTACATCCACTTCGAGTGGATTTATAGGGTATTCAGATTTGACTGACTTTTGTCAAATTTCGTCGAAAGATTCCAGGAATAATGACAAAAGAAAGTGTGTCGGGAAATTTTGATATTTAAAATATTTGTCCTGTGGAGTCCATTTACGCAACACACCTCGCATATTTTTAGCTACAGGGTAATTTAGTGTCATCAACTGAGTTGATGACGTAAATTGGCCACCGTACAGAGTTTAAAGGATGACGTTTCGAGCGTTAACCCTTCGTCAGAGCGATTGGAGGAATTTTGGGTTGTGTGTGTGTTGAAGAAAATGGAGTTTCGCTATTGGTAGGATTATGGTGAGGAGAAAAAGAGGAATAAATTAGTTAAATGAAAAGCGCTCGTTGATACCGTGGGGATTGAGAGTGCCGATTTGGAAGATAAATTTTTGTTCTAAAGTCTTGCGGCTTTCCGAACTGCCTAGATGTAAGGAAAGGCAGCAAACTGCCATATGCTGCTTAGAGTGATTAGGGAGATAAAAGTGTCTAGCGGCTGGTTTGGATGCGTCCTTGTCATTTTTTTCTACGTCGCGAAGGTGTTCCCGGAAACGGTCAAGTAGTCGTCTTCCTGTTTCACCAATGTATAACTTTTTTTCTTGACGCGTGATGGATGCGAAGATGAATACAACAAGTAAGTATGTGAATCTGTAGGTTTGTAGTAAACACTAGTGCATAGACCGTTGCCTTAAATTGAAATTTTTGATGTCTAGAAAAGCCGAAGAAGAGTCGGAAATTTCCCAAGTATATTTAACAGCCGGGTGAAAGAAATCGACGGCGGTAATAAATTGGGTGAGCTCATCTCTGGTAAAGGGGGTGGCGCCGATGAAGTCGTCAATTTAGCGGCCCATAGAGTTCAGCTTCGGAGCCGTGGTATTGACTAAAAAAATTAGTGTTCGATAAAACCTACGAAAACATTGGCGTAGCTGGGTCCCATTTCGGTACCCATGGCTACGCCATTAGTCAGTTTGTAGTCGTTGCCATCGAATGAAAAGCAATTGGGTGTAAGTACTAGTTCGGCTAGACGGAGAAGTGCTTTAGAGCTAGCTTCCTTAACAGTGCGTTGATCGAAAAAAATCATTTTTTGAGAATTACATCTCTTTATACTGTCATTAGGAATGAAAGTATGAAGAGATATAATATCCATGGCAAAAATAACTTTGTTTTGGTCAAGGAAATTAAAGTTACGAAAAATTTTCAAGTGCGTGTTGGCTGTCCTTAATGTAAGATGGTAAAGTTTTGACGTAGGTGCCATCATTTTGTATAGTGCGATATCTAGACAAACAATCAGAATATCGAAAAAGCCTGACACACATTGTTGATTGATGCCCTGTGAATAAGACTGTACAGCCATTTAATGGCTTGAGCGGCGGCATCCGATACCAGAAGAACCCTCGGTCGTTTCACGCCTTACCGGCTCCTGACACTTCTTAAAACGAAAACTTATTTAAATTATATTTTTATCTAAGTCAACTAAATGCAGATTGATTGAAAAAACTATAGGATTTATCTGTGAATCTATTCAACAAAATCCATTAAACCTCAAACGACCACGAAGAACAACCTAAGCTGTCTTCGCAAAAAAGAAACTGAAGATGAAATTAAACAAGTCGCGAGGAGATATTCAGGTTAACACTTTGTAATCGCCCTTTGTTCTAAATTTGGTGAACCATCCTTTTCTCTGGCCATGAGGACACAAATCTCTGTAGAACTTCAGTCCAGTTACTTGAATAAAGCCGACGAGAATCTGAGACTCCTCATCCAAAAGGAAGCCTGCAATGAGGGATAAAGCAGCAAGTAAATATATTTCGGAATGCATGACTGCATGCATCTTTTGCAGCTATTGCTCCGTTGCAAAAGGGAGAAGGATTACAGTTGGCTTGCATTTTGGTAGTGCTGCATGCCAGATATCCTACGGAAGCCGAAAAGGGACAATCCATAAATATTTTGCAAATCCGAAAAAATATTAAGAATCGATATCTTTAAGACAAATTGCTTTCGAAAAGTTTGTCAAGTCAAGAAAACAATTTCAAATCCTGGTTCAATTCATAGATCCATAAATAACTTTCATGAAAATCGAAAATAGTTTACAATCCAAGAATCTTTCCCAAATCCAGAAAACTTTCGCAAATCGATAAAAATATTTTGTCTCGTGACACTTGCGCCAGTAGTCGGCACTCTGTCACAATGCAGCACGTTGTCTCGCACTAGGTTGCACTAGGTCGACTTGGAGTCACTACGCGAACGGACTAAACTGTACCAAGTGTATTGCGATGTTCTGCCAAAAATGTGGAAAAGAATTTGTGAACAATGAGCTATCTGCCGTCGATGTGGAACATTAAAGAGACCCAAACAGAAAAATGATTCAGAAGCAAGATCAAACTCTCGTAAAATCCGCATGACCATGTCCCGAGGAACAGCAATGTAGTAGCTTGTTCTTTAGCTTGTTCCACATCGCACAATTGTCAGATTTTTCTTACACGTTCAACGCGGACCCATATGAACTGTCACGTTTATTTAAACTTCTGTCATGCGATGTTTTGTTTGTGCAGTGGTGACCTTTGATCTGAGCCACTAACATTTGAAACTAATTAATGTATATTCACATGGTCTGTGTAGTTTTCGACATTGAAAAGGGATGTTCGTCGCGATTGACACTAGCTTAGGTTGTAAATAGGCACGAATTTCGATTAAACGACTCGAAGTCTTTTAAAACGATATCCAGGAAGTGATGAAGGGCCTCCGATTTCACGTTTAATTACCTCCCGAACTTCGTACTCTGAATGGACTTCATTTCTCCTTCTCAACCCATACTCACGCAATCTTCTCTTTAGAGTCCTCAAGTTCCTACAAATCTCATAGTATTTTTCTAAAAACTTAACAATAGTACCATAACGAAATCCTCTTTCAAAGTGATGTTCAATGGCAGATCTCTCCTCTGACGAACTGTGCAACACATTTTTCTGTTCGGGTCTCTTTAATCAGGTTCCACATCGACGGCAGAATAGCTCATTGCTCACACATTCTTTTCCGCTTCGATATCTCTTAGCTAGCTATTTCTTAGGAAAATTGACCGTAAAATAAAATAGTTTCTTGACGTCATTCGACTGAAAAATTTCGCAGAAATCCGTCCCGTTTTACGACTTCGTAGCGTGTCAACTCCATGCTTTTACGATCAGAGTGAATCATTCTATGTGACAGGGTCATACTCGGTGTTCAGAAGCTTATTTCCGCACGGCGCCAAGCAATGTTTAAACCTAATCAGATGCATATAAGCTTCTTGTCTAACATATTATGCACTTGGAAGTAAACTAAGGGGGCTTTCATCTGAATTCTTTAAAGCTTTTTAAGGCAAGTTGACAAGAATGGACTTACCATTCGACCTTCCATCAAGGACCAAACACACGTGGCATCCATCGCTATCATCTTTCGATTTAATGTTGGTAAGGTTGTTCTGTTCTGCAAAGTTGATCATCGCTTCTAGGGCTTCAAACTTAGACTCACAACTGCTTGGTTCCTTCGACTTCTCGACTGCAAATCCGACCCTTGGTTCCGACGGATGGAGGAGAAAGTTGAGCGGCAAAGGAGGACATGAGCTATCGGACTCACCAGTTGGACTTCTCCGATATTCTCGAATGGCTTCGACCTCTTCCAAGTAATATGTTCGGAAGGGATATCCGCGAACGTTCATTGGATAGTCATTAGGATTTTTGCTCGCTTTCCATTGCCTCGTGACGTAGTCAGACGAGGGCCAGCCGGGAATTCTTTGCTTGTTTTCTTCAAAAATAGCGAGATAATCTTCTACGTCTACACAAATGTGTGCATGGAACTTGTCCTTTGTTGTCAACCACGACCCAAAGTGGATTGACAAAATAGCCGAGTTTTGAAGCTTATATCCAGAGACTATCGACAATGCTGATTTGACTACCTTCGGCCTGGCCTTTTGATCCAACTCAAAGTATGTGCTTATAAACTCATTGCGGGGCAAAATGATAAAATGAGCTCTGGGACTGTAGTAATCGAACACTACCTTGAACGTATCGCATTTTTCGTTTGCAGGAATCAAATCAAACTCCTCGGCCATCTTCAGTTAGTTATGTTGATCTTCTCGCAGATGCTTCTTTTCTTTAGATACAGACACCTTTTGGCAGCAATTGCGTCAAAGAAATCAGAAAGACTACATAAAACACTCGATGATTTTTTAGTATCGAAATTTCTGAGGCAGTCTTAAGATTCTCGTTCCGCGTCATGGCCAAGTTTGATCCTACGAAATCAACCAATCAGGGAATTCTTTTTCCCCAGTAGTCAAGGAAACCTTAGGACGTCATAATCCCTAAGTGGGCTGACCTTTTCCCCGAAAAGTCCTTTCTGGGAATTATCGAGTTGATGTTAAGTCTCCTCTTTAGCTGCACGGGAAACGTATTGTATTACAAGCTTTGGATGCAAATCGTAATCAATTTCTCAGAAACGTCCTGACCCGAAACTAATATTGCTTGTGAGCTTATGCAGACTTAACGGAAAAAATAAATTTAAACGATTAAAATTAGTTTTCCTACAATCCTAATGAAAAACAATTGAGTGTAAGTACTAGTTCGGCTAGACGGAGTAGTGTTTCAGAGCAAGGTTCCTTAACAGTGCAATGATCGAAAAAATGTTTGAGGGCCCAGAGACCTTCGTCATTGGGAATGACAGCATTAAGAGATGTAATATCCATAGTGAAAACAAATTTGTTTTGGCCAAGGAAATTAAAGTCACGAAAAATTTCAAGTGCGTATTGGATTTCCTTAATGTAAGATGGTAAAGTTTTGACGATGGGTACCATAATTTTGTTTTGTCTGATATCTAGACAGCCATTCAGATTATCGAAAAAGCCTGACACACCGCTATCTTTGTTGATTGATGCCCTGTGATTAAGATTGTGCAGCCATTTAATGACTTGAGCAGCGGCATCCGATACCAATAAATTCAATAGAAGAACCCTCGGTCGTTTCACCCCTTACCGGCTCCTGACACTTCTTAAAAGGAAAACTTGTTTAAACTATATTTTTATCTAAATTTGCATTTATTAAGCTTTCTTCTGGTGTATAGTTTGCTAGGATTTTAGCGAAACTAGCACGATTAGGAGTTTTATCCCGAAGGACACCAGCGAAGGTGGAAAGTAACCTCAAAAAGCTTCTATGAAGAAAACAAAACCCTCGGTTAGCAAAACAGCTTTAAAACATGTTTAAACTTTAGTATGAATTGGGAATAATTTTCTCGGTTTCTGGTTAATATTGTAATTTTGAATCTTTCGAGTACAAGAAACCAGGAAAATGTTGTTTAAATGGCACTAATAATGAAAATTCATTGACTTCAATTCATTGCGCAATTATCAATGTAAAGTTTTCAATTGCACTCTACAATGTTAGAAATTTTGAACTATACCCAGATATTAGAGCTAAAAATTAAAAAAGAAATTGACTTAGAGATATAGAAACCAAAAAGACATACATTTAAATTTAAAAGCTTTTGCGAATACTGAACTAAGTCGACTAAATGCAGATTTATTGAAAAAACTATAGGATTTATCTGTAAATATATTCAACGAAATTCATTATACCTCGAACGACCATGAAGAACAACCTAAGCTGTCTTCGCAAAAAGAAACGAAAGATGAAAGTAAACAGGTCGCGAGGAGATATTCAGGTAGATACTCTATAATCGCCCTTCGCACTAAAGTTGGCGAACCACTGATCCTTCTTGTCATCAGGGCACAAATCTCTGTAGAACTTCAGTCCAGATACTTGAATGAAGCCAACGAGAATCTGAGACTCCTCGTCAAAAAGGAAGCCTGGAATGAGGGATAAGCAGCAAGTAAATATATTTCGGAATGTATGACTGCATGCATCCTTTGCAGCTATTGCTCCGTTACAAAAGGGAGAAGGATAGCAGTTGGCTTGTATTTCGATAGTGCTGTATACCAGATATCTCTTAGTTAACTATTTCTTAATAAAACTGACCGTAAAATAAAGGAGTTTCTTGTCGTCATTCGACTGAACATTTTTGCCAACATCCGACCCGTTTTACGAATTTGTAGCTTGTCAACTTTATGAAGCTTTTATGAGCAGAGTGAATCTATTCAACCAAAACGGCTGTGAGGAACAATATAGGCTGTCTACGCAAAATGGGACGAAATATGAAACTAAACTAGTATAGTAAGGAAGATATTTAGGTTAACACCTTATAATCTTGCTAAATTTGGCAAACCACTCTTCCCTCTGGCCACTCGATAATTATTTTTGCTTGACTAATTAACAAAATATGTCAATACTGACGTTGCCATAAATATTCAGGGTCATACTCGGTGTTAAGAAGCGTTTGTCTGCACGGCGCCAAGCAATGTTTTCTTTTGGAAGTAAACTAAAGGGGCTTCAAACTGAATTCTTCAAAACTTTTTATGGCAGGCTGACAAGAATGGACTTACCATGCGACTTTCTATCAAGGACCAAACACAAGTGGCATCCCTCGTCACCACCTCTCGCATTAATTTTGGTAAGGTTTTGGTCTTTTGCATAGTTGAACATCGTTTCTAGGGCTTCAAACTTAGACTCACAACTTCTTGGTTCCTCCGACTTCTCGACTGCAAATCCGACTCTTGGTTCCGACGGGTGGAAGAGAAAGGCGAACGGCAAATGAGGACATGAGCTATCGGACTCACCAGTTGGATTTCTACGATACTCTCGTATGGCTTTGACCTCTTCCTTGAAATATGTTTTGAAGGGATATCTGCGAACGTTGATCGCATAATCTTCTGGATTTTTGCTTGCTTTCCATTCCTTTGAGATGTACCTACTCAAGGGAAAGTCGAGAATTATTTGCTCGTACCTCTCATAAATAGCGAGATAATCGTCTACGTCTACACAAATATGTGCATGGAACTTGTTCTTTGATGTAGACCAGGACCCAAAGTGGAGGGACAAAACAGCCGACTTTTGAAGTTTATATCCAGAGACTATCGACCAAGCTGATTCGACTATCTTCAGCCTGACCTTTTGGTCCAACTTCACGTATGTTCCTGTGTGCTTATTGCGGGGCAAAATGATGAAATGAGCTCTGGGACTGTAGAGATCGAACACTACCTTGAACGTATCGCTTACTTCTTTTGCAGGAATCAAATCAAACTCCTCTGCCATCTTCAGTCAGTTGAGTTGATCTTCTCTCTTGCCAGCAATTGCGTCAGAGAAATCTGAAAGACTACATAAGACACACTCGATGATTTTATATTATCGAAATTTTTGGGGCAGTCTGAGGATGCTATTTCCGCGTCATGGCCAAATTTGATCCTACTAAATCAACCAATCGGGAATTATTTTTCCCCAGTAGTCAAGGAAACCTTAGGACGTCATAATCCCTGAATGGGCGGACCTTTTCCCCGAAAAGTCTTTTCTAGGAATTATCGAGTTGATGTTAGGTCTCCTCTTAAGCTGGTCTGTCAACAGATGAATAATGGCTGTAAATATTTGCCATTATTACCACTTGGAAGGTTCATCAGGTTGGATCCAACGTAACGACCAGCTCCCAGTTGGCTTGTTAGCTCGTTTGGTATAGCGCTGCACCGGTATCGCAGAGGTCATGGGTTCAAATCCTGTACGGGCCTGTATTTTTTTCAAGCCTTATTTCAACTACTAGTTCAGTAGTGTTCATAGCTGCGAGGATCGCTTCTATATTCGTAGTCAACAGATGATTTTATTTTTTTTCCATTTCTACTTTTATTTTTACTTCTTTTCGTATATCAATCCAATCTCGAGCCCAGGGTTATTTTGGCCCCTTGTCAGCGGTATGGTCGCCAAATAATGGTGGATATTATGTCCTATACTTAACTTACATACAGTAATAATTCCCCATACAACTGTGGTGCTGCGTCGGTGGGAGAGTATAGCAGGTAATTTAGTGTTAACAACTGGGTTGAAAATGTAAATTATCCACCGTAAAGAATAAAAAAAGCTGACGTTTCGAGCGTTAGCCCTTCGTCAGAGCGATTGGTATTGTAATATATGTAATATATATATGTTGGTATTGTATATATGGTATTGTAAGCTTTGGATGCAAATCGTAATCAATTAAAAACGTCTTAACCCGGAACTAACATTGATTGTGAGTTTATGTAGACTTAACGGAATATATCATTTACGATTTAATTTAATTTTCTTACCGTTCTTAAACAACTTTAAACACTTTTTGTTTATTGGTATTGCAAATGATTTCACTTACGTGAACGAAAAGCTGAAAGCAAATGGTCAGAGCACCGAGGTTCAACCTTTGCCGTTTACCGAAAAGGTGACACTTTGATTCTTAGCATCAGTTACGTGAAACGGGGTCTAATTTTGGCCGCGATTTTTGAAGATTAATGGACTTCGAAAGTTCCTCATATGCGCGTTGTATTGAGTAATTTGATCTTTCTCTAGTACCCCTGGTAGTTTCTCGAATACTTAACGTTTAGGTGATATTTTCTTCTTGACGAAAGATTATATAGAGCGCAGTTTGGATGAATAAAGGCTACTTGAAAGTTGTTTTAATAACCGGCCTTTAATGTCGCCACGTTAGCAACAATGATTTTTTCTAAGCTAATTCCATGTTTCCCTTGTTGTGGTTATTCTAGACGCCGTTGTGACTGAAGTCAATTTCTTACAAAGTAAACATATCTTCAGTTTTGCGGCGTATACTCTCATTCCGACCTTTGTGGCATTTTTAAATTCAAAAGTACCAATCATTGTTTTTAATAAAAGATCACACCTATCGTCGGCTGAATTGAGATCTAACAGACAAAGTTTTGTTCGGTACCAACCGATAATTCATATGAAGTAGTTTTCATTGAGGGTCGAAAAACCAAAACCAAATCTATCAAAGCAGCAATCAGAAGAAAGATTAACATGAAGACTAAAGTGAAAACAAGCAAACCGCTTGAAGGGCGGGAAACACCAATGACCAGGTCGCGATTGTTTTTAACTTAGCATCTGATTGAGAGTGTGGTGCGAGTTTTCAAAAACCAATCACGAAGTGAAGAAAAGTAAAACTAATACAATTCCGGATTACCATCGACATTCAATTGAAAACAATTAGAAAGCGTTTTAGACGCATAAACTGAACTGATAATCAACTGTAATTGAGCAGTATCCACTGAAAGTATGGAAATAATTGTTTTGCTATGGTTACTAAAATAATTGTCAGATTGATAGTACTTTCTTTCGTTTAAATTATTTTATCCTTATAAAACGTCAAGAAATCACAGGGTGTTCAGTTTAAAGAATTAGAATGCACTTATCCCTTTATGGTTTCTTGTGAAGTTGAGCTAATGGATGATATTGCTCTGTTGAGGGAGAATGAGCCTGCATTTGTTTAAAAATGTATTTGAATGCATCATTTCTAGTATATTAACTTTTAGGAATAACAACAGTCTTTTTTACGATATCACGCGATTAGTTGTTTGTCACTCGAGTATTTTAAGTCTCGTTCTTGAGGACCAATCGGTCATTTTTGCCGCGATTTCGATGGCAACCAGACTTAAGTAACGTAATGTTTTGCTATGGTTACTAAAATAATTGTCAGATTGATAGTATTGTTTAAATCAGTAAATCAGTTCTCAAAGAGCCCGCATCTATGACGTAAGAATCAAAAACTAAACAAAGCGGAAGTGCATCACTAACGAAACAATCAGACACGTAACACAGAGAATGAGTATCACTAACATAACAGTCAAACACTAAACAGAGAGCGCGCGTCACCGACGTAACAATCAAACACCAAACAAAGAGAGCGACCATCACGAACGTAATTGTCAAATAGAATGCGCATCACTAACGTAACAGTCAAACATTAAACAGAGAGCGCGCGTCACTAACGAAACAACCAAACACCAAACAAAGACAGCGAGCATCACGAACGTAATTGTCAAACAGAATGCGCATCACTAACGTAACAGTCAAACTTTAAACAAAGAGAGCACGCGTCATCAAATAACTAATTTAAAAAACTGCATTGCCGATTTAACAATTTAAACACTGAAAAGAGTGATAGGGCATATATTTGCGTAACAATTTAAACACAAATCAAAGAGAGCGCACATCACTAACGAAAATTTGAGATTTGCCTCATGACCAACAAATGACACATAAATGAAAACAGATCCGAGACCGTGATTGTCACCTCCTTTGAAGCGGAAGTCATCTCTTGGTAAGATTCCAATTCTGCGCATATTCGTTTGAACGATGGCATATCATAATTATTATTACTTATCTGGCTGAAAGTTGGGTCACCTGGAAGAGCCGACTCACTCTGAATTCCACCCATCTCAAAAAGAATCTTTCTGACGGTCAAGTAGATGTGAATCATCAGAAACGACTTGACCTGTTCTGGAACGTTATCGAGCACTTCACCAGATATTCCACAGCCTGTCATTGTGCACCATACTGCGAAGTTCAGCTGTTGAGTCCAGTAGCTCATATTTGGCCCCGCGAGCCATCTCCTTTATTCTGCGCATAAAGAGTGTTTTATTTTCATCCATGTGAATATTCCTCTGAATTTTGCACTGAAGTATTGATTTGGAGTAACAAAGATCTTAATCTCCTCGTTGAAGCGGCTGACAGCATTCTAGAACTGCTGGCACTCCCTTCTTTCCTATTGGATTCAGAGTGAGTTCAAAGAGAAAACCTCCAATTCCAAGGGCTGTCTTCGTATCATCATCCCAATATCTTCTGTCTGATCCTGAGACGCTCGTCTGAACTCCATCTGATCGATTTAAGTAAACTTCAGTTGTTGCCTGTCTTTTGTTATCGAACGACACTTGCGCACTGAACTTGCTCAGGTCCGCATTTGGATATCGTGCTTTGAAGTCGTTCCAGGCTTTTGTCTTTCCTTCATCTGCCATTTAATACGTTTCATCTAATCTTAGCCGCGCAAACATTTTTTATTGCTTTTTTAATCAAAATGGTTGTTTTGACAATTATTGCAGATTCAAATGATCACACGGTTCGCTTCAGAAAACCTCTTGGTAAATCAAACTGTATCAGACTTTTGACTTGTTCTCTCTATTATTCATGGTATAATTTGAGGAGAGGAGGAGGAATATCTCTCTTCGATAGACATAACAATGCAAGTGTTGAAATAATTTGCCACCCTCTACCAACGACGCCAATTGCTGACGGAGCGCCTATTCAGTGAGATCAAAGACAACACCTGCCACAAATTACATGGCCTTTTGCCGTCATGTAATCTTAGTACCGTAGCCTTAAGGAGAAAGCACGCTTTTAACGTACCCTTTTGCAGAACAAATAGACTGAAGAATAGTTATATCATGAACAACGCGGCTATTTCCTAATGGCTTTATCATGTGTAATGCGACTTTCAATATACATATATAGTATTTTTTAGCCTTTTTTTATTATTTAGTTTTTCTATTCTTTTTGTATTTAGTATGAACTAAACATTTGTACAGTCCGTAATCCAGCCTTTTGGCTGCAATGGATTTTAATAAAGCTACCTATCTATCTGGAGGTATTGGTAGTCTTCTCGGCTTCATTTCGGCCGCAGCGACCATCGTAAGCAAAAAACTCACCAAAAAGAATCAAAACGTGAAAAAACCGTATCTCTAGCTGAAGCAGACTCGTCTCAAAGGCTTTGCAAGACGTCTCGATATCAGATACTGAATTCGCTTCGATATTGAATGAAGTTGAGCAACATTATTCATTGAAAGAAGGACAAAGAAAAAATAACTCGCTAATTTTTTTAGAGAAAGTTGATGACGCAACTCTCAGAGAGGAGATAAAAAAAAGAGTTTCAGAAGAAATTAAGCTCTCTGCTTACACCCGAAAAGAGTTGAGAATTCAAGTTGAAGGAAAATCAAACGGGTTCTCATTGTTTATACCTAGACATAAATACTAAAGATATGCAAATTCGTTACAAATAAATATTTAACACCTGCGCATCACACTGCCCACTTATTAAATGTTCAAGGTATCAGCTGATTGATTTCAAAAGTTATGAATGGTTTATTTTTTGCCTTTAATTAAACAACTTGGTCGAAAAGTTGGCTAATTTTTTGGTTTTGGTTTTGGTTTTGGTTTTGGTTTTGGTTTTGGTTTTTGTTTTTGTTTTTGTTTTTAGTTTTGGTTTTGGTTTTGGTTTTGGTTTTGGTTTTGGTTTTGGTTTTGGTTTTGGTTTTGGTTTTGGTTTTGGTTTTGGTTTTGGTTTTGGTTTTGTTTTTGTCTTTGTTTTTGTCTTTGTTTTTGTTTTTGTTTTTGTTTTTGTTTTTAGTTTTGGTTTTGGTTTTGGTTTTGGTTTTGGTTTTTAGTTTTTGTTTTGGTTTTGGTTTTGGTTTTGGTTTTGGTTTTGGTTTTGGTTTTGGTTTTGGTTTTGGTTTTGGTTTTGGTTTTCACACGAAGAAAGATGCCATCCTCAGAGGAACTTACCATGAGATTTCAAACAGTCTGTAAAAACTCAAATCAAAGTCGTTGAATCACACATACGATAGCGAAAATGGTGTCACCTCGACATTAATCACGCAATATCTAACCTCGAGAGTATGGATGTCAGAGAGTTGGATAATTATATGATCGTATTTGAAGAGTACGAGAAAATTTTGAGAATGGAGGGAACCCAAAGCAGATTGGAAATGGAGACAGAAAGAAGTGATGAAACTAGGAATTTCAAAGAAGAATTGAAAAAGAAGCGTCAACAAAGGAGGACAACAAGTAACCTATATTAAAAGAAGGGGAAAAAAAAGAAACTGAACAGTAATAGTTCGCGTGAGGAAGTATGACATTCTGAATACGATTGATTATGAAGATAAACGAAAATTGGTGAAATTAGCCTCAGCTAAATCTTGTAAAATCAAGAACGTACGATGTGTTATGCGAGAAAATAAATTTTGAAATCACCTCCCGAAAAATTCACGTGGGCTTTTATAAAAACAAAAGCTTACGTGAATTTTTGTTTTAAACAACGTTTTTATCAAAAATAAGCGTGCGCCTGTGAATAATCGGTTAACTTAATGATTGTGACACATTTTTTCCTGAAATTTCTTTCAGTCTTTTTTCAAACTTGCCCTTGCAAGTTTGAAATAACTCAACATGTATCGAAGAAGCTTCTCATAAAAAACAGGTACACCTGTAACACCTCGATGGCGCGACAAGAGAGTCGTTTAAGGGAATCGTTTAAGAGAATAACATTCACACCCACTTCAGAACTCGCAAGCGAGACATTGTGAACCTGTGACAAATTCAAGTTGCCTTGAAATCAAGGTTACTTTCAAAATAATGCACAAAACTGTTTTTTTTTTAATTCAGGATAAAATTAACCTTGATTTCGAGGTTAAAAATTCATGAGTTGCCATGAAATCAAAGTTGTTTTCAAAATGCGCCAGAATCCCCCTTTTATATCTACTCCTTGCATATTTTTAGCCACTCCAACTTTAGATTCCGATGTCTAGACAACCAATCAGAATATCGAAAAAGCCTGACGCACTTTTGTTTATTGATGCCTTGTGAATGAGACTATGCAGCCATTTAATTGCTTGTGCTGCTGCATCCGATACCCGATAAATTCAATTGAAGCCGGAACTCTTGGTCGTTTCACGCCTTACCGGCTCCTGACACCTCCTAAATAGAAAACTTGCTTAAATTGTATTTTTATCAAAAACTGCATTTATTAAGCTTTCTTCTGATGTATAGTTTGCTAAGATTTTAGAGAAACTAGCGCGCGTACGAGTTTTTTCCCCGAAGGACACCAGCGAAGGTGAGAAGTAACCTTAAGAAGCTTCTATGAAAGAAACGAAACCTTTGGTTAACAAAACAGCTTTAAAATATGTTTAAGCTTTAGTATGAAGGTGTAATTTTCTTAGTGTCTGATTAATATTTTAATTTTGAATATTCCAAGTTCAAGAACCAGGAAAATTTTGTTTTAATACCACTAATGATGAAAATCCATTGACTTTTATTCATCGCGCAATTTCAACTATACCTAGATATTAAAGCAAAAAATTAAAAAAACAAATTGACTAAGAAATATAGAAACAAAAAAGACATTCAAAAAATTTAAAAGCTTTTGCGAATGCTGAACTAAGTCAACTAAATGCAGATTGATTGAAAAACTATAGGATTTATCTGTGAATCTATTCAACGAAGTCCATTATACCTCAAATGACCATGAAGAACAATCTAAGCTGTCTTCGCAAAAAGAAACAAAAGATGAAACTAAACAAGTGGCGAGGAGATATTCAGGTAAATACTTTATAATTTCCCAACGCCCTAAATTTGGCGAACCACTGATCCTTCTTGTCGTTAGGACACAAATCTCTGTAGAACTTCAGTCCAGATACTTGAATGAAGCCAGCAAGAATCTGTGACTCCTCGTCCAAAGGGAAGCCTTCAATGAGGGATAAAGCAGCAAGTAAATATATTTCGGAATGCATGACTGCATGCATCCTTTGCAGTTATTGCTCCTTAAAAAATGGAGACAGAATGCAGTTGGCTTACATTTCGGTAGTGCTGTATGCCAGATATCTCTTAGCTAACTATTTCTTAGGGAAAATTGACCGTAAAATAAAGGAGTTTCTTATCGTCATTCGACTGAATAATTTTGCAAAAATTCCGGCCCATTTTACGACTTCGTAGCATGTCAACTCTATGCTTTTATGAGCAGAGCGAATCTATTCAACCAAATCTTTAATACCTTAAACGGCTTTGAGGAAAAATACAGGCTGTCTACGCAGAATGGGAAACTAAACTAGTATAGTGAGGAAGATACTCAGGTTAACACACCTTACAATCTTGCTAAATTTGGCGAATGACCCTTCCCTCTGGCCACTCGGTAATTCTTTTTGCTTGACTAATCAACGAAACTATATGACATATGACAGGGTCATACTCGGTGTTAAGAAGCTTTTGTCTGCATGGCGCCAAGCAATGTTTTTTTCTTAAACTTAATCAGAAGCATTTAAGCTTCCTGTCTAACACATTATGCACTTGGAAGTAAACTAAGGAGGCTTTAATCTAAATTCTTCAAAACTTTTTTAAGGCAGGTTGACAAGAATGGACTTACCATGCGACTTTCCATCAAGGACCAAACACACGTGGCATCCATTCTCACCACCTCTCGCATTAATTTCGGTGAGGCTTTTTTGGCTTGCATAGTCGATCATCGCTTCTAGGGCTTTAAACTTAGACTTATTATCCCTTGGTTCTTCCGACTTCTTGACTGCATATCCGACAAAATAGCAGACTTTTGAAGGTTGTATCCGGTGACTATCGACAAGGCTGATTCGACGACCTTAGGCTTGGCCTCATCGTCCAACTCATAGTAAGTTTTTATGGACTCATCGCGGGCCAAAATGCTCAAATAAGCTCTGGGAGTGTAGAGGTCGAACTCTACCCTGAACATATCGCATAACTTGTTTGCAGGAATCAAATCAAACTCCTTGGCCATCTTCAGTCAGTTAAGTTGATCTTCTCACAGATACTTCTTTCCCTTAAATACAGACACCTTTTGCCAGCGATTACTTCAAAAAAATCTGAAAGACTATATAAAACGCACTCGATGATTTTATAGTATCGAAATTTTGAGGCAGTCTGAAGATTCCTGTTCCGTGTGGCCAAGTTTGATCCTACTAAATCAACCAATCAGGGAATTCTTTTTCCCCAGAAGTCAAGGAAACCTTTGGACGCCATAATCCCTGAGTGGGCCGACCTTTTCCCCGAAAAGTCTTTTCTAGGAATTATCGAGTTGATGTTAGGTGTTTTCTTGGGCTGGTCTGTCAAAAGATGATTTCATTTTTTTCATTTCTACTTTTATTTTTACTTCCTTTTATGTATCAATCCAATCTCGAGCCCAGGGTCATTTTGGCTCCTTGTCAGCGGTATGGTCGCCAAATAACGGACGACCATATCGCTCACAAGGAGCTTAAATGACCCTGGGCTCGAGATTGGTATCAATCATAATCCTTAGCTACGTATGGTGTTATAAGTTTTGGATGGAAATCGCATTCAATTTCTCAGAAACGTCCTAACCCGGAACTAACGTTGATTGTGAGTTTATTTAGACTTCACGGAAAAAATCATTGGCATTTAACTTTTAAATTAAAAATTTTCTTACAATCCTTAAACGATTTTAAACACTTCTTGTTTATTAGTATTGCAAATGATTTCACCTAAGTAAACGAAAAGCTGAAAGCAAATGGTCAGAGCACCGAGGTTCACGAAACGAGGTTTAATTTTGGCCGCTATTTTTGAAGATCAAGGGACTTCGAAAGTTCCTCATATGTGGGTTTTATTGAGCAATTTGATCTTTCTTTTAGTACCCTTGGTAGTTTCTCGAAAACTTAACGTTTAGGTAATATTTTCTTCTTGACTTAAGATTATACAGAGCGCAGTTTGGATTAATAAAGGCTACTTGAAAGTTGTTTTAATAACTGGCCTTTAATGTCGCTACGTTAGCAACAAAGATTTTTTCTAAGCTAATTCCATGTTTCCCTTGTTGTGGTTTTGCCTACACGTCCATATTCTAGTCGCCGTTAGGACTGAAGTTAATTTCTTACAAGGCAAATGTATCTTAATAAAAAAGGTTTAAAAAAGATTGCCTCTGTCAAACTCGCCTAATCCTATATCAGATAGTTTTGCGGCGTGTACTCTCATTTCAACTTTTGTAGTATTTTGAAGTCCAGAATACAAATCATCCTTTTCAGTAGCCTGCGTTACTGGCGGCCTGCGGTTTTAGGGGCGGGGAGAAAAACGAAAGACCTTTCATTTTTCAGTAAAAAAATTACACCTATCGTGGGCCGAATTGAGATCTAACAGAAAAAGTTTTGTTCGTTACCAACTGAAAATTCATATGAAGTCGTTTTCAGTGAGGGTCGAAAAACCAAAACCAAATCTGTCACAGCAACCAATCAGAAAAAAGATAAACACGATTACTAAATTGAAAACAAGCAAACCGCTTGAAACGCGGGAAAACACTAATGACCCGGTCGCATTTGTTTTTAATTTTGCATCTGATTGGTTTAAGAGTGTGGTGCGAGTTTTCGAAACCAACCACCAAGTGAAGAAAAGTAAAACCATTACAATTCCGGATTACCATTGACACTCAATTGAAAACAATTAGAAAGCGTTTAGACTCATAAACTATGCTGATAATCAACTATAATTGAGCAATATCCACTGAAAGTGCGGAAAATAATTGTTTTGCTGTGGTTACTCAAATAATTATCAGATGGATAGTACTTTCTCTCTTTGTTATCATTTTCTCTTTATAAAACATAAAGAAATTGCAGGGTGTTCAGTTTAAAAGGAGTCACCTTGTGTGAGTAAGCTTTTATCTGTGACCAATTAGAATGCACTCATCCCTTTATAGTCTCTTGTGAAGTTGAGCTAATAGATGATATTGCTCTGTTGAGGGAGAATGAACCTGCATTTGTTTAAAAGTGTATTTGATTGCATCATTTCTAATATATTCACCTCTATAGATAATTAGTCTTTCTTAAGATATCAAGCGACGAGTTGGTTGTCATTCGAGTATTTTAAGTCTTGTTCTTGAGGACCAATCAGTCATTTTTGCTAATTACAGCATTTATAGCAGTGACTGAATATCAAGAATGACCTACAGAAGATTGAGCTCTAATAAATCTCATTTTTCACATTTATTTATTATTCACCTCAGCATTTTTGTTTTAAACCTTTAACCCCTGGGAGACTGGCTTCTAATTTCTCATTACAATATCACCCTTGAATCACACATTTAGGTCACAGGAATGAACAAAATGATCACAAACTAAACAACCTCTTGACTGTTAAACAGATTCACCTTATCAGCACTGTGGGAATGTGTGTGAACAATATCAAGAATATGCATACTGATGTTAGGGTGTGAAAGGCTAAATACATAAATTATACTTAACGGAAAAAAATAGTGTTTCATAAATTTAAAAAGCCATAAACCTAGAAGAATTTATTGCTTTTCTGCTTTCTGGAGTGCAGCCAATCCTGCTTTCTTTAAAAAGGTACCATTTACTTCCAGTATATGCAGAAATGTGCCATAATGTGCAGAAACAAGTTTTCCATAAGTTCTTATCACTGCTAACAACATTTTTGCAAACTTAAGTGACTTTGAAAGGTGGCACGACTGTAGTTCTAACACTCCAGCAAAGACACCAAAAATATTGCCACTGAATTCTAGCTTTAAATCAACCATTGTCTGTACAACAGAGACAGTATTCTCTGACCATGTGAAAGGATGACCTTGACTATCTGTCCTGATTGCAAATGTTAGTTCCATCAAATGAATTCTTGTATCTTCAGTGAAACATTCCTTGACTATTTTACCGATAATATCTACTTGTGGAGTGTTTAAATCTGACTCCTGAATAAGTTTTACAGCAACACCATCACAAAATGCTCTTGAGTGTTTCTTTGAAAACAGGGTTACAGCCATTAAAAGACCTCTTGAGGCAGCTTGCTTTAATTCCTGTATTTTAGGAAGAAGACACTGAGAGGCAAAAACACATGCATTGCTAAAGCTTGGTTCTGCTTTCAAGTCAACAAATTTTGTACACAAAAAAATTGCAGTGGGTTCTTGCAGGCCTTTAATGTGTAACTGGTTACAAATGTATTCTACTTCAAGACTGCTGCATGTTGAAAACACATCAAGTTCATTGGAGGAATAGTTATCTTCTTCTTTTACTTCCAGGCTAGTAAGAAAGTTTTTTAAAGCAGAAATATTTGGCTGAAGAGCATGATAGAGTTTAGATTCAGCTGTAGCTTCTTGGTTTGTGATCAAGAGCTCTGGAACATCCTCTGCCTCCATATTCCAGTGTTCCGGGGGTGGAGGCACCTTGAGGTGTGGATCTTTAGCTATTATATCTGTGCAGTGTTCAGGACTTTCATTAGTATCATTTATTTCAATATCATTGTCATAAAAATCATGAGGAGCTTCCAAACAAGTTTCAAGCAGTTTTGTGTCAAATTGTGAATCAACATCATCTGTACAAATGTTTGTAACATCAAGCATGTCAACATTGTCTTGATCAATAACTTTACAGTCTCTGTGTAAGGCAGGATGATTTTCTGACCAACTCTTGTTGCTTTTTCTTATCTCATGAACTTGCTGTTGGCTCAACCAAGGAATGCTTCGCGACGATTCAGCCATTTGGTTCTTCTTAATAAGCTCATCAAACCTAGATTTTGACTCTTCCGTGATGCAATTTAAATAGAAAAAGTTAATGTCTTCTCTATCACCTTGGTCAGAGCGGTTGAGTTTTTCCCTTTGCACTTTCTTCAGATCATTCACTTTTGACTGGAGAATATTAACGTACGCAGCACGCCAATCTTTCAGCTCTTTTATTTCTTCTAGACTGACAATCAACTTTTCCAAAGATTCCGAAGGTAACACATTACTTTGTTGTAAAATAAACGCCAGAGTATTCCTTTGCATGTTCAATGGAAGAAGTAGAAGTTTTGGTTTGAAAAATAGTCTATTATCCAAAACCACAGGAAAATCGCTCGCGAGGTGATTAACGAAATCGGTCCAGTTCGGAGGAATGTCGGACAACCTGTTACTTGACAACTTTTTCTGAAGCCAAAATCGTGCTGCTTGAACTGGTGAGAATTCTGAATTTAAAGCTGCAAATATTCCACGCCATTCACTTGGAAATGATGAAATAAGTGTGTTTAGGAGGTTTACAGGGGGGAAATCACCGAATTCTGCTTCGTGGGTTAAGCAACTAGATTTGTCCGCCATCTTAAAATTGCTACAGTCGAAATAAGCTGGAACTAGCGCGCAATCGAGGTTGAGTTCCAGCTTCCTGTGGGAGGAGTGAAATGTTCACTTCCTGATCATTAGCGCTTGCATCGTCGACCACAATTTTGTCTGCGAACTCTCCCACATCTATTAACTAAATATGCCATCAAGAAGGTAATTAGTATAAGCATCGTACGATATATGTGTTAGTCGTACTTTTCTAACGGAATGGGGTGGTTTTTGCTCGTTATTGTAGATGGTTTCACTCTGACATATCGGGCTTCGATGCCGAGAAGTTGTTGCTTGAGCGAGGATTTGATGGCAGCTATCTTGTCCGGCCTAGTAAAAGCAATCCTGGCGATTTTACACTGTCAGTGCGGTACGTATTAATTTCTTAATGATAAAAAGGGACTTTGTATAAATTCGCGAGTAACCATAGATAAATTTCAGCCTTAAACAGAGTTGTGTCAGTGTGAAATAAAGACCCTATTGACGATTCGAGTTAGGAAGCTTAATGCTGTAGCCACATTTGAGATCACTTCCTTGCTATGCTAACACGACAAGGTACAAACGTTTGTCATTCGTTAGATGAATGATATCTCAATTTCTTATTTAAAGTAGATGTTTTTAGCAATGTTTTCAACAGAGATTATGCGTGCCCTAACACAAGAGTTTTGGGCGAATATTTTATTTCATTTGCATTTTGTAGGCACGACCAAAAATTTGAATGTTAATAGTGTTCTATCAGATTACTATCTTACATTATAATTCGTTGTGTTATTTATATCATGTATTAAAAATTCATAAACGGAGCGTCAAATTATCTGATCCAACAGTTCTTGTGGTAAAACTCGATCTGAAATTCAGCCCTCTTGAAAAAGAGGTCAGTGGTGCGGCTGACAGCTCGAGAGATGGAAACATTAAATTTAGAAAACCCACGCATTTCTGCAGATGTCACACCGAGGAAATTTCAATTCGTCACGAACTGAGCAGCTGTTTTTGTTACAATTTAAAGTATTATCCTATCTTTAACTGCACTATTTGAAAACTGAAACAACCCTCGTGTAAGCAGATTATTGTTATACTGTCTAAAAACCAAGATCGTGTGAGCCATTTGTTTTTCTAAGAAAAAAGACGCATATTTTTCTTACGTTTCAAAAAAATATACCCCACGTACACAAGAAAGTGAAAGTAAAATTTAGTGAAAGTCGAAACATACCTTAATGTCGGAACATTTTGTCTGGAAGTCTCAAGTTATTCCATGGTTTGGAAGATGTAAACATGTTATTTTAATTGGCTTTGTGAAGAATCATTAAATCATTATGTAGATCTCCTTTGCACATTTGCTTTAAAGATAAGAACCGACAATTTTGAGGAGAATCTTAAGAGTTACCCTTCAGTTTGAATGAGGATAATGCCTCCCATACTGAACTTTGCCAGACAACTCTCAGAGGTCATAATAAGAGACTGTGTGAAAAATGCCATATTAACTTTGTTATGAACTTTGTATGTAGCTTTTCACTACTTGAGTCAGGAAAAAAATTCTAAGGGGGAGATACCATGTCAGTAGAATTATACAGCCTTAATTTTTCAGTGTGAAATTTTGTTTTCCTGGAAAGCATTCAAGGAATTGAAAAAGTTGGGTTGGGATTCCTATTTCCTGCTTTTTGTGATCTTATATTCCAGGGATATGAACTCCAGTATGGTACTTTTATTGTATGCATTTAGTAAATGATATCAGATACTGGGGATTCAGAAAATATAATGAAAGAATGACACAATTCCATGCCCAAAACAAAATGGCTCTAAGTTTGGAGAAAATTTTGTGGCATGTTTGTATGTTTCTGTGATAAGTTTGGATACAAGCCTCTCTAGAAATTTTCTTCTGACGAGCATTTCTGAAATGGATGATATTATTTCAGCTTGAAAAACTTTTAACATTTATTTTTTTTTTCTAATTTAAAAACTTGTTTATGCAATGGCACCACATCAGTATTCAAATTTCTTCCTATTGCTTTCAAGAAGCAATATATTCCAACATAATGGAATGATTCAATATTGTTTTCATATACCTTGTCAACTAAGCAAATGATGTATTGAATCACTTAGAATGCATGAACCAATCAAGCTCTCATTGCTTTAAGTTGAGGTAAAATGTACTGTATCTTCAAAAGGCTTTGTTGCTTAACATCCCTTGAAAATGTTTCATTATCAATTCATTTGACCATATGGTAATCAAATGTGATCAAGATTTAGAGTACTCTTGGAGAGGTGGTTTTTACTCCATTTGAAAATTTGTAGAGTGATGTAAATTGAAAATCCACAAATTTTGATTTTATTACAAAAAATATATATATATTCCATGATTTTACATACTATATTACTATTAGTAGTAGCAGTTGAGTGATTGGAGTGGATTCCACATCAAGAGATCTAGCAGTAGATGTGAGCCCTGGCTAAAGCACTGTCTTTTTGAGCGAGATTGTTTACACTCAGAGTGCCTCTTCCACATGAGAAAGTTAATTCCAAAGATTGGATCATTAATTCTCCTCTCTAGCTACTACTCATTTCTATGTAAATTAGTTATGAAGAATTAGTGTTAGGTTAAGATAACAACTTTTATTTGATAAGTTTGTGTATTCTCGTGAACTGTTTGCTGGATAATGTACATGTTTGGTTATTAAAGGGAGAAGTTACAGGTTAATCACTTGTGGGAGCTAAAGGGTGAATGGTAGCTATGAATTGGTGGGGAAACCTGATAAAACCCAGGGGAGGGGAGTGTGGGATAAGCTGTGAAGGTCTGGAATCCCATCCGGAGGTAGTAGCATTCGCATTATCACTAGTCACTGAGCATTACAGAAACTTGAATAAGCTGTAGCTAGATGAGTCATTAGACTCTTGAGCTGACTCAAGTACTTTTTTCCTTACCTTTGTATTGATATGCCAAATACTACCATCAGAAGCTCTGAAAGTTAATTTTTTGACTACAGGCGAGATGGTGAGGTGACGCACATAAAGATACAAAACACAGGAGATTTTTATGACTTGTATGGAGGGGAAAAGTTTGCCACCTTGTCAGAATTGATCCAGTTTTATACAGAAAACCCCGGGCAGCTGAAAGAAAAGAATGGTCTGGTCATTGAGATGAAATTTCCTCTCAACTCCACAGATCCAACAACAGAAAGGTTAGACTCATTGTTTATACTCAGAGTATTATTATATATAGATTTAGGCAAGCCTAAAAGCAGAGCTTGCATTTTCTTTTTCCTGCACGTCTCTTCAACAAAACCAAAGCCCCTACTATGGATAAAGTGCATGGTAATATTAGTGGATTTTCATTCGCAACTTCTCCGTGTCTGTGTAGAGGACTGATTATAAGATAATGCCCATGGTGCAATTGGCTGTGCATGCTAAAAGTAGGACCGTGTACGGTTGGTCGTATGGTTGTACAGTTGTACTGTCGTACATCCAAATTTTTTCAGCTTGATGGGTTACTACTATTTTGTATAATTATGGGGCTACGCTCTGCGAGCTCCGCTATTAAAGTTATGTGCTGGTGCTGTTTTCATCTGTTCATGCTGGGATTTATAATTATAACTGGTAGAACAGGGGGATGGCAGTATTGTATAGATTCACACATTTTGTGTAAGTTCCACATTTTACATGTTACTAAAAGTACATTATGAAGTTCCAAGTAACTTGGGACCCAAAGAATATCAAGCACTGAAGTCATTTGCACCTGAATAAGAAACTTTATTTATAACATGAATCAAATACTTCTTCAACAGGTTTCACCAATTAGGATCACTATAAATAAGCTAAAATTGTTACTTAAATGTTTAATCAACCTTTCCATTACTGATAGCATTTTTACATCCAAAGTGCCAAAAAAATGACTAGTAGTGAATAATTATGTCAATTTTTGGGTTTGTACAGATTCTCTTAATCTTGAAAAAATATTTACATTTATTAGAAAGATAGTTTTCAAGCCTTGGAGAAAGTAAGGAAAATAAAGAAAAATTATGGAAAACCAGGACAAACTTGAGGGGTTTTTAATTTTTTTTCTTTGTTTGGTTTTTTTTTTTTTATTGTAGCATGCAAGAAGTTCTTAGTTATGGAGAGATGCCTCTCTGAAGGAGTGGAAAGTGATATGCAAATGAATTGTAGCAAAAATGTTCCATGAGCACAATAAATGATAATTTTCAATTTTGGGATAAACACTTGACAGAACTATTTTGCTCGGGCCATATGATTACTAATAATAATGTTGAGTCTGAAGGAAGCAAATAAAAATACTGAAAAAGTAGCAATAAACCATTAAATATTGTGTTAATCTGACAGCAGTTTTTGTTGTCTCCAGATGGTTCCATGGCCATATGTCTGGCAAAGAGGCAGAGACCATGATGTTAGACAAAGGAAAAAATGGAAGCTTTCTGGTTAGGGAAAGTCAGAGCAAGCCAGGAGACTTTGTTCTCACTGTCAGGTGAGTTACATGAGGAACTATCTGATTCTCTGAAAGTAGTTTATAGGGGCACTGTGGGCCATAGCCTATTAGGTTACAGGATTTTGTACCATTTTGATTAGTTAATTTGTACCATGAGGTACAAAATCCTGTAGCCTGATTGGCTACATTACTGCTCAAAAGTAAGCCGACAGTCTCAACTTGAAACTCAATCATCCATACCCAAAACTATTGAGGAATAAAGAATTGAGGATGGAGGATCATGGAACTCAAATAAATATTCAAGGATCTTGATTTCCAGTGTCGAGAAAATAATGTAATTTTTGCTGGATGTAGTGCTTGACATGCAGCTCCTCTTTAAACACACAGACTGCCTGCACACTGACAAATAATTTCATATCCTGCAAGACTCAAGCTTTAACCAAGCTCTGTTTTAGTGTCACTCATATTTACATCTAGAAAACCTATTAATTTCCAACACATGACCTTTAAGTGTATGGGTACCAGCAGCATTCTTCAGTTACAGAATAATCATTCAATGGATAAAAATCTAAACAAACATATCTCCACAGAAGCTACATGTATCGTGCTCCCTTACACTTCTTCTCATTGCAAAATTAAATTTTGAAAAACATTTTACATCATAAACAGACTGATAAAGATGGATAAATCTTTTTTCAGTTTTGTCATGCATTTACGATGTTGTAGATGGAAGCAATAAAAAAAAATATTCATTCCTATCATGACTGAAAAAGGAGATGGTGAGCTTGTTTTAGGTATCAGCAACTGAGGATAAATTTAAGGTTGGGCTAACTTTGCTGTTAAGTTGAGATGAAAGCAGAAGGTTATAATGAAGATGTCTGACAAGAATTAGGCCTGTTTGGTTATATTTGGTCCCAAACTTCTCATTAATAATAATTCATTGAAAGTGAGCAGTGGTTGAAACTTTGATAATCATAATTACTCTTAACCCTTTCCACCTTAACATTTATTTATTATGCAAATTCTCCAAAATATTCCCCATAATTAAATAAAGATCACAAGAATAAAAGAAATGATCATTTCCTCACATTCTTGAAATGACTTCATGGTGACAATTTTTTTATACATAGACTGGAGGACAAAATCACTCATGTTATGATCCGTCATCATGTGGATGGAAAGTATGACGTGGGTGGAGGAGAGAAATTTGATGATTTGACTGATCTTGTGGAACACTATAAAAAAAACCCTATGGTGGAAAAATCTGGCACTGTTGTGCAGCTTAAAACAGTAAGAAGCTGTTTTATTTTTTTAATCTTTTTCTGTATCTATGTTAATGAATCCCTTTCAATCCTGTCTCCATGGAAGGCGTCCAATCTTATTTGTAGTTTTCCCCTCCAAGCTTCTCTTCTTTTCCTGGTAAATTGGCTTGAACAATTAACTAGTATGTAGCTTGTAAATTTGTGCAATAATTTTAATTTGATAGCTCATTTCATATTCCCCTTCTGCACACAATGAAGTCTCTCTATACAACATTTAAATTACTGTCAGTGTTGAAGATGTTATTGGATAACTGTTTCATGCATAAGCTAGGAATTTATTAAGGTACATGTAGGAAGCATTTGGTAAGTTTGGAGAGCATGTAATAAGACACATATAGTTGCTTTCAGCTGCACCTTGAGCAACTCTTGCATTTTTCATGGCCTCCAACCTGCCTTTGGGCTTCATATCTCAATGAATGCATACCGACGTATGAATCATGAATTGTTATTTAGTGCCATATAACACCCTCTAGGTGATAAGTTTGCATCCATAAAACACCTGTTCATTGGGTAATGTATTGATATTATGGGGAGGAAGTCACATGTTAAACATTTTGTGGAGTAACAAACCCTCCCTGGGTTATTTTAACCACTAAAAACTTTTTAGAGATTCATTCAATGTCATTGATGGGCTAATGCTTGTAATAATTATTGAATTTTAACCACAGTGGCTACAAACTTTGTAGAGATTTATGTAATGTCATTGATGGGCTAAGGCTTTTCATAATTGTTGAATTTCCAACTGGTACTTGTCAATTGTGGACTGAGACTGCAATCACAGAATTTCTACTCCAGGTCCCAGGTAGCGAACATCACTAGAGACAACATCATGAATCATATGCATGTTTTAAATTTTGAATATGCTGTCTTTCAGCCATTTAACAACACAAGAATTAATGCTGCTGCAATTGAGGACCGTGTCAAAGTTTTACAAAAAGAGAACAAAAATGTGTCAGGAAAGGCTGGATTTTATGAAGAATTTGAGGTAAGCTTTTTCCCATGCTGATTATTTTTCAATTCTTGTTACTTGTGTACTTGATAAGGTAACAATACTGTGGGGAGAAATTGTATATTGATGATTTTTGTCCCTTCTCCACACAGGTTCTACAGAAGCAAGAGAGCAAACATCTGTATAGTAGAAAGGAAGGAGAAAGGCCTGAAAACAAGGCAAAGAACAGATATAAGAACATCCTACCATGTGAGTATTTGTGATAATGATAAGGATACTCAACCCTTTCATTCCCAAGATCTCATTGATAATTCTCTGTACTTCTCTTTTAAGTCTTATGATGTTAGTTTGGAGAATTTTGTCTCAGATGAAAGATCAGCCCCCTAATTGATATTAGACTTAAATCTCATCACTTGTCCACTTGATATTTTGTTGATATTGTAAGGAGAAATTCTCTCTTGGTCACTCATGGGAGTTTAAGGGATAAAACAGGATTTGGCTTCTTTTGAAAGGTTGTTGTAGTTCACTCACTTTGTAATTACATGGTGCTGTTAAAGTTATCCCCAATTTTTATTTTTGAATTCCCTTTACTGTCTGCTATGCATTTCTAATCATGTTTGTTCTAAGTATTTGGTATTAACTCAAACATTATTTATCTATTGATATAATTCTAATACTCTGCACCTGTCTTCTTGATTGTGTACTGATATTTTAAGGGAAAAAAGGTTTTAAACTTGGTCAGTTCAGATAGGAAAGTTTTAAGAGTCCTCACACTGCCTTAGCTGTGTCTCTCCAGGGATTGGAAGACAGAGAAAGTTAGATAAAGAACTTGTGCTTTGACAAAAAGAATCCCATCTTGAATTTCTGAATGATGGATTACTCAGGTTCATTTGGGTTTAATTTTAACCTTGCAGTTGATCACAGTCGTGTTATTTTGGATAATGCTGAACCAAATACCATTGGATCAGACTATATCAATGCCAACTATGTTGGGGTAAGTTTCCTGCTTTAGCTGAGTTGAACATGCTTAGGTGTTCAACAAATCCTGCATTATCATTGGTTCTGAAAGTGGGAAGAATTTTCCTATCAGCTTACTCACTGAAGGCAGAATGGCCAGGTTGTTGACCTTTTGTGAATAAAATAGTGTTAATCACAAGGGATATATTCCCATTTTTTCAATCTTAAACTTTACACTTGATTTTAATTTAGCTACATCTTACCCTTTTAATCTGTAGCCCAGTGACTCAGAAGAAGCATCAAAAAGATATATTGCTGCTCAGGGTTGCCTCCCCAGCACTGTGGAAGATTTCTGGCATATGGTTTACCAGGAGAGCAGCCGAATCATTGTCATGACAACAAAGGAAGTTGAAAGAGGAAGGGTAAGAAGCAGCAAATAACTTTTAATTAATAAATTACTTTTAAGTAAGGCTTTAAAGAGCTGCCATGAAAATACTGTCTCTATGTATGAGATTTGCACTTTTTCTATCTTGTGCAAGAGACATGATTATGGACTTGGTAAAGCAAAAGTACCACTGGAAATGTACAGAGAACATAATGGAGAATATGGATACTGATATCACAATAGAGACTAGATACTAGAGAACTTTTGTGCTGATACTTTTGCGTGCTATTGTATAAGTGTCCATTTGCAGTCCTTCATTACAGTGACTAATAAAAGCCATAAATTTAAAATTTTCTCCTTGCTTTGGATGGTTTTTTTTCAGAATAAGTGCACTCGTTACTGGCCTGATGTTGATACCACAAAGGATGTTGGTCCCTATCACGTCAAGCACATGAAGGAGACAGAGTTTACCGACTACACTTTGAGAGAATTTGAAATTACTTCAGAAACCAATGTGAGTGCTACGACCAAAATCTTACATATGCTGGTTCTTCCGTTCTTTTATGATATGAAAAATGCTAAATTTGCTTTATTTTGGAGAACAACATGATCGACTCAACTGTTCCCAAAGACAATTTTTACAGTTTCTTTACTTGAACATTAAAGGTTGTTTTAAGTAATTAAAATTAAAACAACTGCAGCAGCATTTTTTGCAATCAAAGCTGAGAGGAGGGATACATACTTTCTTTATCAAAAACATGTAGTTTTTAACATAACTGAAGGATCATAATATCTCTGTTGCAATGAAATTTTGTAAAATTTTGTATCATATCAGGGGTTTCAATAATGACCAGTACCGTTGGTCTCCCCCCCCCCCATTTTGTAAGAGCTCTTACCACTGTCTGTTTTTTGGACACACCAGCCTGGTACACCATGGGCAGCTGCTTATGGAAAACTGAATTTGGGAATATCTTTAGTATACAAAGTTGTAGTCAGTTGAATGGAAAATAAAAGCAGTTTCTTTCATTAATTTTATTCTACAGCCCATACCCAGCACAATATATCAGTTCCATTACACAGGATGGCCTGATCATGGGGTACCAAAGGATCCAAGTCCTGTCTTACACATTCTCCATGAAGTCAACAGCAGGCAGCAGTCCATTCCAATGGCTGGGCCAATCGTTGTGCACTGCAGGTAACACCTGTGTTCATCGATATATCAATTATCCTCCTCACTCTTCTCTAATTTTGTTTTGCCTTTAAACCTTTCATGGGGGATGTGATGGCCTAATTGTAAGTGTCCTGAACTCTGACTGGAGAGGTCTGGGTTCCAGACCCAGCCAAGTCATTGTGTTATGTTCTTGGGCTTTATATATGCACTCTCACAGTGTCTCTCACTCTCACCATGCCTCTCTCCACCCAGGAGTTTAAATGGGTACTGGCAAATTTTCAGGAAAGCCTGATGAAATGCTGGGGGTAGCCAAGCAATGGACTGGTCTTTGAAATCAAAGGGTTGACAGATTTTCTTTGAATTTGCTTTCTAGTGCTGGCATTGGAAGAACTGGTACATTTATTGTAATAGACAGTCTGGTAAACATGATCAAAGAGCAAGGTAATTATTTTTATTTTGTTAATGAAGAGTGGCTCTAATTGTTAAGTCTCAGAGATGATTACAGCACAATTATACTTTGGTGATCTGTGGTAAATGGTGTGGACTTGCTGGGAAATGATCCATACTGTTTCTGTTTCTATTTCATCTCAATTGTCTATTTGAAATATGGTGAAGTGGAAAAAATAACTATAGATATTAGACTGTTTTGTGTGTATTAAAACTCAGAAAGTTTTGTTGTTTGTTTCACTCTCCATAGGTCTTGATTGTGAAATTGATATTTCCAAGAGTATTCAAAATGTCAGAGCACAGAGGTCAGGAATGGTGCAAACAGAGGTAGATGCAACCATTGCTTAATACTTCTTTGAATTTTTAGAGGCCTGAACTATTTTCACTGGTATTTTTATGTTGAAACTAGGATTTTTGGCTTGTAAGGAAAGGTTATTCTTTTTTCAAGTTCTCCCCATAGCAAGCTTGTCAGCAAAATTTTCCCATTTTTATTGCAGCTGTGAAAATTATTAAAAGCATAGTAATCTGACAAAAAAATCTTGGTTTCACCCTACCTTGTTGCAAGACAGGATAACTAAGTGTCAGGGATTTACCACTGACAGTTGCATCAAAATCAATTATGAATGACATCAAGAACTTGCAAAGTACAGTTTAAAATGCACTTGGGGTTCATGCAATTTCATTTGTGTATGTGTATATATATATATATATACTGAATACTGAACTGTTCATGGTCAATAACTGATTGAGGTTTCTCTGATTCTGATTTTAGGCACAGTATGAGTTTATTTACAAAGCTATTCAACACTACATCAGCACAGAGACTGCAAGATTAAACAGTGACAATGTAAGAATAAACCATACCAGTTTCCCTGAAGTGTATCTGTCAACAGTCTTTCCTTTTACATGGAATTATTATTTAAATTACTTTTACTTTGATGTTTGTGCCTTAGGTGGCTGAAATTTGTAGTCTTTTTTATTTTATTTGTTTGGCACTGCTTCTTTCGCCATATATAAACCAAAATTATCTTGTTATATTTCCCCACCGACGCAACACCACAGTTTCTGTAGAAACTTACCCATTATTCACATTTTCGCTCAGTTGGTAGTAGCGACCAACTCGTATCTAGGAAGTATAGGCTCGAAACCTGTCAAAACCTTTTCGGGCTTCTTTTCTGAATTGCTAAATTGCAGTCCGCGTGCGAGGATAATTTCTTTGCTTGATATTTCTCTCTGGTGTTTACCTACCTATATTTTATTATATTTATGACTGAATTATCGTGTCATGAAATTGTAATACTTCTTTGAAAAGCCAATAGAAACAATTTGAAATCATTTCATTACTGTGAATTTTTTTTTCTTTCAGCCGAATCTTGCTGTCTACGGGAATTTGGCAAACGTCAGAAAGGGAGGTGAAAGTGAAGCTCCCCCTCCGATTCCTGCCTATACTGTGGACAAACCCCAGCCAAGGTTAGCTCTTTTTGACGTGCATTCTGTCTTTCTATTTATTCGCTGCCCCTGTTAGCCGCTCCTCTCTTTTTTTCCGAACATATGTAAGGTTTGTAACTAGAATAAGGAAGATGGTAAGTTTGGGCTCGGTTAAGAAATAGATGCTTGGGACAAGACGAACATCTTTCCTTATTTCTTAACCGAGCTCAAAACTTACCATCTTCCGTATTCTATTAACGAACATGCTGCTATCGACATCGCTGATCCTAGCAGTGTGCAGGACGCGTATCATATATGAACTTAGTAACGCTCACCTTAGTCTCTGTAGCTCGGTGGTAGAGCAACGGAGCGCGAAATCCGAAAGTCTGAGGTCTGAAAGGTCCGAAAGTCTGATTCCTCATGGGGACTCAGAATTTTTTTCTTTGTCCCACGCTCGTGACAAGACAAAAAACATCTTTCTCATGTGTAAGGTTTGTTTCTAGTAAGCCACTGGACGAATTTTTTTCTTCTGTGACTGGTTGATTGTAACTTGCACCTCTTTCTCAACTAAGTGGCTATAATACCGCAACAAATCGTGGTTTTCCTTTACTAATTCCTGGTCAAGGGATTTCTTCTTCAATTTCCTCTTAGATTATTTTTCTGTTTTCTTTTAATTTCGATCAACAACGCAACTTAAGTGCGAGACAAATCGCTTATGTAGACCGCAACTTCGTGGAAAGGCGTGTCATTTTGATTGTTCTGTAACCCTTTACACCCTTAGATCAGTATGCATATTCTTCATACTGTTCTCTGTATATTTCCTAAGGTGCTGACAAGGAGAATTTATATAACAATCAAGAGCTTCTTTAGTTGGCAATAATCATCTCCTTTATTCTCTTGACCTTAATGTGTGATGCATGGGTGATACTGTTCGGAGAAATTAGATGCTGGTCACTTTCAGGAGTCAAAGGGTTAAATTGAACTAGTTGTCAGTCTCATATCAGATGGCTTATAATTGACTTCTGTGTTTATTTTACTTCATATAAATCAGTGTTCCTCTTCTGCCTCTTTCAAGTACTACTAATATCACAGTCGGTGTTATTTTAAAAAAATACAATGATTAAAACAGAGAAGTGCTAAAATTAGCATTAATTCTTTCTAACTTCGTTGTTGGTCACTCATTGACATAATTTTATTTTTGTTATAGACTTCCCGGCGAAGGTGCTCAATCCAATACGTCTCCGAAACTTCCCCCTCGAGTAAGTGACGCATGGGTAGATATTGAATGAGTAAGATATCTTACTGAAAATTACTAGAAAGAGGTCGCTTGTAGAGGATTCACGGGGATAGGCGTGAATTTTCACAGGATCAATTCAACCTTGTCTATCTCCCAGATACTGATTGACCGTCAGTATCATCTTGAAAATTTGCCACGCTATTAACATGTTAGCCAAGGGAGCAATCGGTGTCCAAGGCCTAGGTGCTCATTTACCTTTGTTTCAGTCCTTTAAGGAAGTGAAGTTTTAAGATTTAATAGCACCCTGTGAAATACTTTCATAGAGAAGTGCACCGTGACCGTACAGCTAATGAAAGTTGAGAATTTTACATGCCATCCCTTGTGAATGTTCATTTGCTTTAACAGAAAGCTGCACAAGTAAGTTCTGAGAAAAACTTATGTTAATCTTGAACGACAATAATTGGGTTCCACAAAGTACAAAAAAGCGTCAATCGGCAAAATTTAACTTAACGCATAACTTGTGAATTCGCAGAAGCTCCTAAAGACAAAGAAAATGATTTTAGCTTTTTTTCTCTGCCTGAAACTCGCGACAGGCGAAATCCAACTTCATAGATTTTATTTCTTCCCTTTGTCTACATTCTTGCTGACATCATCGTGATATCTCTTTCATACGTGTGTTTCAATTTCTCTGTTGATCTGAATGATTTTCTTTTCAGGACGGTGATGGAACTCCGCCTCCTCTGGCTCCTAGAAAGATGGCAAATGTGTAGTTTTAAAGAAGAAAATCAGCGCAATTTTTATACAAGAAAACAGTGATGAGTAATTTATACCTATTTGAATACTTGTAGCTCGACCGCAATGTCATGTCACTTTCCATTACTAGTTCGTCATGCAATCCTTCTTGTCACTAATGGAGTTGTATTGCGTGTCGTGCGTAGTAACTGCAGGCGTGCTTTTACAGACTAGAAATTATTTGTTTGGCTTGGCGCTGGAACAACATGGGTAATGAAATCGATATCTGCAAATCTGGGAAATTATGACCTTCATAGATTGCAGGTGCACATTTCTGTGAAACTGAGGAACCCTTCCCAGCTCTCTCCACTGTTATGTTTGAGATTGTAACCATGTTAACGTACATGAGGACGAATACAATCTTTTTTCCTATTTTTTTTTTTTGCTCTGCTTTTATATTTGCATTGATGGCAGTATTTTTAGTTATATAAATGATCAATAACATTTTTCCACGAATTACGAGCTACCATTTTTATTAACCGTTAAAAACCCAAGATCTGATTGTTAATTCTCCTCTCTAGCTACTAGATATTTCTTTGTAAATTAGATACGAGAATTTGGTGTTAGATCAAGATTACAATTTCTACCTGATAAGTTTGAGTATTCTCATTAACATGTTTGATGGATAATATATGGATATTATAGGGAGAAGTTGCATGTTAATCACTTCTGGGAATTAAAGGAAACATGATTGCATGTTAAATATACACAAATTGACGGGCTGGTATAGACATGTAGATAGCAGGTATTTTATAATGTAAATTGAATGCAGTTTACCCAATAATGCAGTTAGACTTGAATTACACTGATTTAATTAAATGAGGAATCTTTTCTCAAATAGTACTCAGATTTGGAAATGAAGCTCTATTGAATATTACCAATGATATAATTTGATGAAATTACAATTAGTTTAGCTAGAATAAAAGCTGCCAAAATGCAGTTACCAACTGATTTTATAATCAGCTTCTGAGCAAGCGTGTCTGTACAAAAATGTAGTCCTTAAATTACGTCCTAATCATTTTGTTCGGGTGTTTGCAGTTTGTTCCCATGGCATTGAAACGCTTTAAAGGTGCAGTTTGAGTAGTGTGTGAAACCATTATTGGTTACATGTCAGTAAATTTTCATGTTAATACCATATTTTAACTTGCGATTACATTGGCAGATCCAGGTTGGGGGGAGGGGGGAGGTATGGGGTACGAATCCCCCACCTTCCTTATCATACCCGCGCAGGTTTTTTTTTACGTGAGTATCCACGTTACGACCCAATATGAAGTATTTAAAATTTGCTTTACTGGAAATATTTCTAAGCTTATTTCGGCTATAGTATTTCCAAAAGCAAAGTTTCTTCCTCCCCTCCCCTCTGGATCCGCCCTTAATAGTCAGAGTTACATGTTTTTCATAGACAAGCTCAAGTTTAGGGTACAATAGATTTTTTAAATAAAGAATTGATGCACAGAAGTGTCTTAATCAGTGAGTTAATTCTCTAAAGTGATGCTACTCACTCTTCGTTATTAACCCTTTCGCGCACCCTAGCGTCAGAATGCGTATTCTCTGTACTGTTGTCCATGCATTTCCAAGGGGGCTGGCATGAAGAATTTGTTTAACAATCGGGAGCTTCTTTACTTGGTGATCATTTTATTTATTCTAGTGACCTTAGTGTTTGACTCGGGGATGATAAGTAAACATTGAATGTACTATTAACTCTTCATATTGTAATCACCTCTCACGTCCAGCCTCAAACGTGCACTCGCAGCTTTAGGCAGGACAAGGGCCCGACATTTGAAGTCTGCGAACAAAAAAGAATACAATCCAAATTATGACCTCATCTCAGAACAAAGCATTACATTTTCCTTCTCCTTTCCGGACTTTGGCTCTGAAATCTTTACCCATAAAAACATGAGATACTGATGCATCACTAACACAGTATGATGATGCCATTGAAAACCATACACGATTTAAGACCATTATGTTCAAAATGTGTCCCTGTTTTATAAAGCAGGTCAAACACCGTAGCATGTGGGGTGACGTGTCTCCCACCCCCCTTGTGCCTTTAGGCGCCAACATAAGCGATGTAACGATAAAGTCTTCTATTTGTGAGCGCTAACTAACACCAACGTCAGGGTATATAATTGACGTCAGGGAATAAGCCAAGAAGTATGAAGACAATGCAATCGGAACTTACAAAGTGAAGCATGTGCATGGCATTGACAGTTTTGTTTTGAAAAGCTTGTTGGTCACATTGTGATTGAGCTATCATTCCTTATCGACTGCTTTCTTCAAACGCGTCCCAATAACTTCATAATCGTAGAAACTACTGGTCCCGAGAGCTAGAGAATTGTCTTAGTTGTGCCTGGGAAGTTGACAACATTTACCAAGAGCGCGGCAATAGGACAAAAGTTAAGGGAACAGATTACACACTCAAGGAATAGGTGGAAGCGAGTAAACGGCAAAGAAACTACTTTTCTGAACAGACTCAGTTGTAGTTGAAGTTTAAAAAGTTATTAATAAATTGGCAATAGAAACAGGTTTTCCGACTAATTTGAGAAAGTGAGGGAAAGGGGAGGAACGCTTATTCGAGGGAGGTGCCTTTTTGACATTTTGGCCAAAAGGGTAGGTGTTTATTCGGGGGAGGACACTTTTTCTGGCGTGGGCAACTATTTGAGGAAACACGGTAAAATTTGTTAATCTACTATATGACGGCTACACCACAAATATTATGTGCCAAAATTGTACAGCGGTGATTAGAGCCCAGCTTCCTAGAGTGTAAGGAAAATCACTGAAGTCTTCATTGCGTAAGAAAGAAGCCGAAGTCTCCTATCCTTCAGTTGGGTTGTGGCATCATTTAGACGTTTTTTAGCGTTTTATTGGAGTATTTCCTTGCTATGGATGATCCTGCAGTGTTGGGTGAGTATTTCAACGGAAATTACAAACGTATTGGGGCCTTGACATTTCCGGGAAGTAAAGTTTTCGAAATCATGTTTGTATTTGGTGTCATCATAACACTTACAAAAAAGATTCACCAAAAGCCACTGTATTTGTTCGGAAAACAGTGGACAGTTTTTGTTTTTTTAACACAAACCAGGAGCCATGTACAATGTGACAATTGTTTTAAGCCTAAGTGATGCTTAAAAATCTGGGGTCAAAAACCTGTGACGTAACATTTTATTTCATTCACATTGTGTAAGTAAGATTAGGGGTACCTTAAGAGACAAAATATACAGTCCGTATACAGAGTAAATTGTTTTTACGCGAGTTTCTGATAACCAGATAAACCACCCCTCTGGAATCAGCACAGGGACCGTGTGTTTTTCATCTCTGTGAGGATAGCGAAGACGAGTACTAATCCTGTTTTACTCATGAATTTTTAGAAAAATTCACGCTTGATGTATACTTTAAACAGCATTTCATGCGTCGCAAGGTTAGAAGGGAGAAGTTCAAATTTCTTTCCTTGTGTGTGAGGTTTCAGGAAATCTTAAGGTTTTCACAAAATGGAAGAAAAAATTCATTGATTACATCGTACATTTCAGGGGGCAAATTATACCTCACACTGGTTCACAAATTCATAAATTTAAACATCACATATTTATTTTGGCCTTAATCAGACATCACATGTAATTGTTTGTCACCTTCCTCAGTGAGATGGAATATTCTAATATATGCCCTTCAGAGGGGACCTAATTAGACAACATGTGTTTACTGGAAAAAAAGAACCAAAATAGTAGATACACTTCTCCCTTACCAGTGATACTGTGGTTTATGCCTTAAGGTGAAAGATTCACACCCTTTTTTCCTTTTTTTTTTTAGTATAATTGTAGAGATTGTACCAACTGGTTTCATCATTTTATTCTCACAACTCTGTTCACCTCTGGAGAAAAAAAATTGTTCAAAACCCAACATATTTTCACAGTTATAAGAGTTAATGACAAGCTAAAACTGCTAGCTTGTCGGCCATCTTTAGCCACTAACTTTAACCTCATTTTATCATAAGTGCTAATTATGCAATTATTGAAAAACCATCAAAGAAATTTTTATCACAGCTATTCCCAAGTTTTAAATAACAGGTTTATATCTGTGAATTGACTCCATATTCAGATTGTGTCATTAGGTTTGCAAACTTTGCAAAATGCTTGAGATATTTTTACAGAACAGGTTCCAGTCTTGTATCCAATCTGACGAAACAACATAACATTTACAATGATCTACCTTCCTATTATTTCTTAGCCCTTTCTCTCTGAATTTGGTGTTAAATCAAACAATATCTGTGAATAGATAACTTTCTCTATTCTCATCAACCTTCTCATCAACCTTTTGCTCAAAACTGTATTGGAACTGTAAAGCAAAATTCTGTTTTGATCCACCCTGGGTGTGAAAGCCCTGTATTTTTTGGCACATTGAGTACTGATCACTCAAACATTTGTATTGTCAGCACTCACTCCCCATACTGTTGATGACCCTGAGTCAGCAGCTACCAAGCAGCTTGTAAACCCTGACCGTGTTCACAGACATGGTGATCCATACGACTTGGTGGTGTTAGCCCAAGAAGTACAAAAAGCAGATCAGTTTGTCAGGTGTGCTGCAAGTAATAAACTGATATTGATTGCAGAGCAGATCCGTCATCTTCAGGAACAAGTAAGGTTTCTACAGACTTACATTTTGGAATTTATTTTCTATTTGTCTTCTAGATTTTTCGACAAACTTAGCAGGGGATATCTCTTTAAACATGTTACTAGTAATCAAAAGTATGTAATGACCATAAATCCTTAGTGACATGTATGGTTCATGCTTTTCTTTAGTTCTTTTATTTTTCTAACTCTCTTCCCCCCCTCCTCTTTCCTACTCCCTACAAACTTTATTTTGCACCAAATGAGTTTTACGTTGTTGCTATTGTTATAGAATGTCTACATTGTTAGTGTACAATCATTAAGATATGGAAGACTTTTGAGGGCCAATTTTGATGATTTTTTTTTCATCTCAAGCTAAGCATTATTATTTTAACTATTGTTTCCAAGATACAGTTATCAAAGAGTAATGTGTGATGTTAAGAGTAGTATTTCTGGATGCTTCATTGAAACAAAAACAAAATGCAGTTGTGCTTGTATGGAATTTTTTTTTTCATGGATTCCCTCAATCAAACAGTAAAAAATGTGCTAAACCTTTTTTTCAGGCAAGGAAAGTTTTAGAAGAAACAAAAAGGGATGCAGAACTTCACCATGCTGCTTGTAACTTCAAGAAAAGACCAGGCCAAATGTATTACTTGTATAGACGAAGTAATGGAACAACATACTTCTCCATTCTATCACCAAAGGTAACAAGACTACATTACACTTTCAAGGGATTATGTGTAGGAAAACATAACTAAAGTATAGACATTCTTGTGAATTAAATTTCAATTCTGAATTTTTTTCTGGCACTAGATTATCCAACCACAACTCTAAGAATTTTTTTCCATGAGCCCAAAGCTAGTGTAGGCAAGGTTGCACTTAGGAGAGTGCTGGTCAGCTGTTTCCTGCATATTTGTGGAGTAGTTATATCCAATCTCTCTGTCAGAGGTCAAACAATCTTGTCCACTGTGCTGTCTTGTCTTGAGTTGCAGTGAAAGCCATTTGTTCCTCACCCCACCTTTCCTATGGCAAATTAGGGAATTGTTGGAGATTGCTTAACCCTTTGACACCAAGGAGTGACTAGCATCTATTTAACAAATAGATTCCAAGTTTCCATGTGTCTGTTCAGTAATAGATCACAGAGGATGTCAAAATGTGGTAAGGACAAAAAAGTGGCACACAAGGCACAGCAGAGTGTGTCACTGATGTTCTTACCACATTTTGTTGTCCTCTGTGATCTATTACTGAACAGACACATGGCAACTTGGAATCTATTTGTTTTGTATAATAAAGAATTAAAATATACAGAAAAAAAGTTTTAATGATGACATCAACTATATGTCTGTCCTCCAATAGATCATAAGTGAGAACCAATCAGAATGTGTGCATAACTGAGCTTATTATATAATTTGTCCTGACAACATTGCTCCTGAATCAAAAGTCCAGTCACAAGAGTAAAAGGAAATGATCATCTGATAAAGAAGCTCTTGATTGTTAACAAATTCTCCTTGTCAGAACCACAAGAAATGTATAGGGAACAGTATGGAGAATATGCATACTGTTGGTAGGGTGTAAAGGGTTATTTAATCAATATGTTGAGGAAAGCACTGATATCTTAGGTATGTAGCAAGCATATCATAAACTGTAGATGATTTTGGATTATTCCAAATTAAATATTTGATTAACTGACTCCATGTTGCCATTGATCTGTTCAGTGTAAGATCACAAATGACATAAAAATTTGGTGAAAAATAATAAGTGACTCGCATGACACAGTGGATTGTATGGCTGATGCTCTTACCACACATTTAAGCTTTCTGTGATTTGTTACTGAATAGAGACATGGCAAATGGAAGCTATTTGTTGATATGATTTAGGAAAAGAAAGTTATTAATGATGATGTTATCTGTGATACATATATCCTCGAACAGATCAGAATTAAGAACCAATCAAAATGCAGGTTCTATCAACCCCTAACTCCCATTAGTGACCAAGACAGAATTTCTCCTTACAACATCAATACAATGTCAACCAGATAAGTGATAAGAATAAAGAGAAATATCCACTTGGGGATACTTAGTTGATCCAACACAAGATTCTCTGAACTGGGAGTTAAAGGGTAAACAAATTGATTTCATGTTGTTGTGCATCTGTTCAGTAGTAGATCACAAATAATATCAAAATGTGGTAAGAATTAAAAAACATTCATAATTGATCATTACAAGTTTTTTTTTCTTTTTTTTTACCACAGGAATGGGGCTCAAGCTGTCCACACGAGGCCTTGGGAGCCTATCGGCTTGAAGCAGACATGTCTTGGACAAAGGCTGAAGATGTAGAGCGACGCAGCAAAGACATTGCTATGGTTGATCATCTACTTTCACAAGAAGTTCCAGCAATTGAATATGTTTTACCTGCACATGACAACAATGGATTTTCAACCAAGCCAGCTATTAAACACAAGACTGTGATTGAAGATGTCAGCAACCAGGCAGATCCAATCGTGGAAGAACCACACTAAAGCACAGGTGGTATTTTGACAGAAGACATTTAATTACAAGCTTTTAAGGACATGACAATGAAAGAAGGGCAGACACTTAGAGTAAGGATTTAATTTTTGACAATGATGACTATGCCTAGTGGAGCATAGGTGTGGAAGAGACTGGAAAAATATTCAGAAACATTTTAAGTGTGAGGTCCATTTTGAAATTACTCCTGAGTTCTTCAGCTGGGGGTCCTGTCTTCATCTGTGGAAGCTTCTGCAGTGGAAACTGCTATGTTATTTGCAAATATTTGGTAAACAAATTGATAGAAACCCATTAACCTGTTACAGAAGCAAAGAATGGCTTAGGTGTCCAATCACGGGTATCTAACAAGTTTTCATTGACCAGCACAATGGTTATTTGCTACTTCAACAGCAGATACAATAAAAGTCATCAAATCAAGAATTTGATTATATACATAATTAATGCTTTTAGAATCCAATTGATGGTTTTCAGTTTGCTCTGAAGTCTAAATAAACAGAAGACCTTGATTGGATACTAAATGTAAATCGCCTGTTACCCTTGGTCAGTTCACAGGATTAGCTGTGATTCACTGGAGGGCTTCCCCTTGTACTTTTTTCGGTAGCTCACAAGGAACTTATCCGTCAACAGTCTTATGTTTATCAGTCCGTAACATGCAGTAACAATTGTATTGAATTAGAAACATAAAATGGTGATACTTGTAGAAAATCTATTTTGTTTTTGACTTTTAAATTACAATTTATCTCTTTCTCTCCCCTCTTTCTATTATTTTTGTATTCGCGCGCGGGGCGCGTGATTTCACAAATTAGCTGATCACGTCAAAAAGCCGTAACCTTGACATTGAAAACTGACATGGACGTTTTACGCGTACTTTGCTGTTTATTTCACGGGGTTGATATAAGTCGTTCTGATCTTTCGTTCGCGAAAATTTATTACCCTTTTGTTTGGGATTTTAGGAAGTTCGGAAGATTTTGTTTCAACCAAATGTTGTGGTTTATTTAACAAGTTTAATACATATATTTTTACCGAGTTTGGAGTCCGGCATCTTTTTTCGTAAATGGATTTTTAACATGGTGCTGTTTGCTCAACGAACGTACAACATTCAATAAGAAATAGTTCCGAAGAATAACTTGTTTTACTCATGGCCGAAGAAAAAAATATTTATTTTGTCAGAACCTTGTGCACGGTAACATTAGAATCCATATTCCCCATACTCTTCTCTGGACATATCTTAAGGCTCTAACGAGGAGAATTTGTCCAACAATCATAGCATCCGAGATTGGCGATTATTTCCTTTATTCTCATGATCTTAATGATTAGTTCAGAAGTGTTGCTGTAAGAAGAAATTGTGCGCCTTTTTTTTTTCTTTTTTTTTTAGTTTTGTTTGTTTTTTTGTTTGTTTTGTTTTGTTTTGTTTTTGTTTGTTTTCTTGTTACTTTAATGTCGCGAGCTTCCTCTGTTGTCACTTCCTTGTCACTAAAGTGTCGCGCGCTCTCTTTGTTCCTGTTTGCTTGTTACTTAAGTATCTCGCACTCGTCTTACATTTGATTCTCTTTTGATTGTTTTACGTTAGTGTCGAGCGCTCTCTTTGTTTTGCATCTGATTCTCTTTTTGCTCGACTTACGTCAGTGTCGCGCGCTATCTTTGTTCGTTTGAATGTTTCGTAAGTGCTGCGTGTTCTGTTTGTATTGTGTTTGATTGTTACGTTAGTGTCGCGCGCTCTCTTTGTTTTGCATTTGATTCTCTTTGCTCGATTTACGTCAGTGTCGCGCGCTATCTTTGTTTCGTTTGAATGTTTTGTAAGTGTTGCGTGTTCTGTTTGTATTGTGTTTGATTGTTACGTTGGTTCCGCGCGCTTTCAGTATCACCCTTGGTTGTGTAGCACACTCTATGATTTGTGTTGGCATATTAATGTAGCGCACTTTCTGAATCATGTTTAACTGAGTGTTGTGCAGTCTGCTGTCGTTACGTTGGTGGTGTGCACTTCCTTTGTGTTTGATCGTCAACTTTCGCGATCTGTTTGTGCCTTGCTTGATTGAAACGGTGGTGATGCAAGCTCCCTTTGTTTCTCCTGTCGTAATGGCAGTGATGTGTTCTGTTTTTGTTTCATATTTGCCTGTTAGATTAGTGATGTGCCCTTTGTTCATTCTGTGGATTCTGTGGTTGATGGTTACGTTAGTGATGCGCGCTCTCTTAGCTATGTTTGATCGTTACCTTCCAGAGTTGCATGTGCGGTACTTTCGTGTTGTTAGTGATAAACGTCATATTGTTTGTCTTCGATTTCCTCGATGGTAAAGTGCGATCACCCGGTGCCGGCCTTTTATTCTCTTGCATTCCTTGACTCTTAGAACGTTTTACTATAGTTGTTACAGGTGGGTACGGAGAGAACTGTTAGAGATCAAGGAAAACGTGATGCTCCGACTGAAAAAAAAGGCCATCCCCTTTTTTTCCGTTTAGCGTCGAATGCGTTTTCTGATATTGGGTCGGTCGGTCAGATTGAAAAAAAAAACCGAAAAAACGAAAGAAGTCTCTGAATAGGAGGCCTGGTACCCCAGCATCATTGCTGTGGAGCCTGGAAACAACAAGACATGAACCCAAAATCAATATGGCGGAAACGTTGGTAGGTGTTAATGTATTATAAAGACAACGTGGGAAAATTGATCAACCACCGAAACTCCTATGCGGCATGCCATGGCGATGAGGATGACGTTTAAAGTTATCATTAATATCTCAGTGGATTAACATCGAGGATGACGATAAAAGTTAATATTTACGTACTTGGATTAACAAAATGCACAATATACTGTAAAAAATGTTCCTGTTTTTTTTCCTGTTTTTCTCTGAACTGTTGCTATGCTCATTTTTCAGATTTGAAGAATGATTTTAAGTGAAAAATTGTTTAACTACGTCGTTACCTTTTTCTTTTTATTTTGAAAATCATATTTTGAAAATATCAAAAATTTGGGTCGGTCGGACGACACTAAACGGGGAAAATAAAGAGGATGGAAAAAGAAAGGAATCAAAGGAAGAGAGAAATTTTGAAAAAGAGAGAGACAAGGATTTAACATTTTTAAAAGCATTTAAAAAAACAGACAATTTTCCTGAGTATCGCAAAAATCAGGGTGATATAAAATATTTTCCTTCTTTTCTCTTCCTTATAATTTCAAAGAGATCTCTTTAAGAGGTATGGGTAATAATTATGTGCTGCAAAGATAGGTAACATAGTAAATGAAACGATGCCTGGTCATATCCAGAAGAAACATTAGCTGGTGGTGATCGGCACGAGATAAGAGAATTATGACTGACTTCACATGCATCTCACATGGTATTAAAAATCATCAGTTGTTCTGATGTACAGTACAATGTTTAACTTATAACCAGCGTAATTTTCTGATATTCTTGTTCAAACGAGGCAGAAGTCTTATTCAAACTTGATCCTACACTAGAAGTCAGAGTAAAACTACTCAGTTGATATTTTCCCGCTTCGTTGCACAAGCTACAGTCTAAAAGAATTTGATTGGTGTAACGCGGTCATTAAATACCTCCAGGTTAATAAATATTGATGTGATGTAACCACCCTTTTCAGCACTTGCTGTGCACATCCTAGTCTCAAGCGCCTGGTAATCACTGTAAAGAAACATGGCTGAACAAAAGTGAGTGAATATTTCTGTTTCTTTACTCGTTATTCCCGACGAAAAGTTTCGACATCACTGTAAACTAATCGTGTTATGAGCCCGTGATCTTCAATAACTATCATCTCGTACTAAAATGGCATTCCATTCGCTCGACGTGGAGCTCTGAGTTCGAAGAGTCTAGCCCAAAGTTGCAAAATGTTAAGACATTGTCAAAATTCTCAACGTCTTTCTGTTCTCTCTTCTCATTTGCATCGCAGGGCAGACATAGCTTTGATCGGTTTGGCTGTTATGGTAAGTAAAATTATAGATTCTGAAGTTGTCTTGGTCAATATTTTGTCCAAGCATGATTGTGCAAATTTCGACACAGCTAGTTGAACTCTGAGATTTTCTTCTTATCTTTTAGGGTCAAAACCTGATCCTAAACATGAACGATCATGGATTTGTGGTAAGTTTTACTTCTTAATTTGCTAAAAGTTTATGACTGCTCAAGTTTAAGTGAGTTTTGACAATTTAGGATTGCATGACATCAATTTATTCGTGTGCTTTTAATAATTATTTTTTCTTTGTTCTTAGTCTTTGTAATTTATTATAATATTTACGCTAAGCGCTAAACATTTATTCTTTCGATGTTTTGGAGTTATGTAGGTATGTCTTGCTCGTATTTGCAGGAGTTTCAAGTAAACTTTTAGTTCAAAATCTTCCATTTTAGAAAAACAGATCATTCTCGCTTCACTGGTTACACATCACTATCATTGCTTTTTTCCTTGTTCAACTTAGCTTTACGTCATGTTGCAATGAAAAGAACAAGGCAGTCTGACTCTTTGACCTGTGGTTTCCCTTAATATCAACATCAGTTGGAAAGATATATAGATAGCCAATCACATGATAGCAATCAATGGCACACTTTCGAGCCATTGTTTTTTTTTCCTGTGTTAGGTCCAATATTTTACACCTAGTTGAATTGAATATTTGCAGACAAGGAGGCTTTGCAAAATGACATAGTGAAAATTATTTGTTTGGTAATTTGACATTTTGTGGTTTCTTCTTGTTACATATCAAACTAAAATTAATTCAGTGATATTAATAGATAATGATAGATAATGATATTCAATGATATGAATAGAAGAACTTGATAACTCCTTAACTGTATTTTCCCTGTATGGCTAATTGAAAGCAAGTCAGTGACCATTCCCTCAGACTTGATCAGTTTTAACTATATAAACTCAATGGATCTTGTCTATGCAAAGTAGTCAAATTTAGGTACCATTGCATATTGGCATATTATGTTTAGGAACTTTTTGGGACAGTTAGTTTTTGCATATAAATTAGAGGGCTCTCTATGAATTTGAAATGATACAAAATACAGTCACCAATTTTCTCTTCACTTGGAAGCCTAAACAGAATGCCTCTTTTAATTTTCTATCTACAAACCCTTAGGGAATTTTTTCCTGTTACATAGAAAGTCTTGGTGCTATTTATAAGTATTGAGTGAAAACCATGGCGTGCTTTGTCAATCTTAAAGGGTGGACATCATGCGACATTAGACAATTTCATTACCTATGACTCATAGAGGTCAACAAACATTCACAAAAAGCTGCCAAATAAACAAGGATGTTAAGCATTTACATCAAAGAATAGATGATTGAAAGTAAAACTCTGAATTCTTCTCAATGATTCTATTCTCAGTTTGTAAATATTTGCAATCAGTTAGGAGAACTTAAATGTATGAAATTAAAACAGGCATGGATGGAGAATTAATGAAGATTAAAGCTTACTTAATTCATAAGGGTTAACTTGAAAAACATTTCCTTTCTTTCTCCAAGTTTATTTCAATTTGGATCACTCTTTGTCTAGTATCATTTTGTTTCTTGGAAGTCATCCTTGTTTATTTTAAATTTGTTAATTGGAAAAAAGAAGACAAACTTTGATTAATTTATGAACTATTTTGAATCCATAAATGTGTTTCTTGATAAACAGTAACCAAACAAAAAAGATTTTTTAACAATTTGAAGTAAGGTTATTTTCTTTTCCACAAACAAGTAACATCATTTTACTTTGAATTATACTCATGGAAGAT